ATGTAGAGTGGCCCAGCTCCCATGGAAAGTAATATGGAGAGTCCTCAATATATTAAAAACAGACCTACCATATAATCCAGCAATTCCACTCCTGGGTATCTGCCTGAAAAATGAAAAAACACTAATTAAAAGAGATATATGCACTCCTTTGTTCATAGCAGCACTATTTACATTAGACAAGCTATGGAAACAACCAGTGTCCAAAGGTGGATAAGTGGATTAGGAAGTTTTGGTATAGACACACAATGGGATACTACTCAGGGATATATATATTATATATAAATATATAATATATATGTATAAAATAAGCTCCTGTCATGGATGAAACTGGAGGCAATCATGCCTCCAATGATGAAATAAGTCAGGAAGAGAAAGACAAGCACTGGATAGTTTCACTTATATATGGAATATAGAAAAGAAAAGAAAACATAGAGAAACAAACAGCTAAACAATATATATCTAGTTTCTGGAAGCAAAAATTTGCCTCCTAAGGGATAAATTTTAAAGAGGTGAAATAAATCTATAAAGTAAAGCAGGGTGGCATGGTGGCATAGTGAAATGATGGAGCCGTTTTATTTTTAATTTTTATTTATTTAATTTTCCTGACACTTATAGCACAGTATATGGTTTATAACATAAGTTTCAGAGGTACCGCCTCATATTTTAACATGTATATACATTATGATCACTACTGAAAATCTTGTTTCTATCCCCAACCTTACAATTGACCCCCTTTCACCCTTTTTACTCTAGTTCCCCTTCTCCTCTGGTGCACACCTTTCTGTTGTCAAAACTCTAAGGGTTTGTTTTTGTTTTTGTGGCTTATCTTTGTTCATTGCTTGAGCTCTTTAGCCAACTTTTAAAATTCTGATTTAGCTGTATGACTTTGGAGTAGTGACTTAACATCTCTGAGCCTCTGTTTCCATATTCATAAAAAATATGTCAATTGCTGGATTATGTAAGCATTGGAAATCATATAACTTATTCTCATACATTATTACCTTATCATTTTGAAAATGTAGACTATATGGGCTTAACATGTAAATGTTCAATTAATAAAAACTATTTCTATTATTTCAAATAGCAGAAAATAACTGATAATGTAAGACACATAGTACTCATTGGATTCCAGTCTTACAAATTTCTTCTAAGAGGTTATGTCACCTTTTTGTCTTGCTGTCATAAGCATAGTGTGGGTTTTGGAATTACTGCCATATTCAAATCTTAACTTTCCTACTTGCTTTCTGTATGACCTTAGACAAACCTCAGTAACCTCCCATTGCCTCAATTTTCTAATCTATAGAATAGAGACAATTACAATTCTTGTGAGAGTGCAATGAAACAATACTCAGTGTTGTGAATAGTTAAAACTCATTGCTTTTCATTATTGTAAACATCAACACTTCTCAATGCTTTATAAAATATTGATATTTGAAAACTACTCCCACATATTACACAAAAATATGATTGGACATAGAACAAATTATTTCATTATGTTCTTTTCCTTCATTTGTTGCCTCTGGCTTTCCTTTGCCTTGTATAACTGCTCTTGGAATCTCCTTTGTCATTTTGAACTCTTTTCTCATTGCATCCAGTCTACACTGGCTAAGATTAAGTTGTTTCTTAGGTGAAGGTTCACATTAGAATAAGTCCCATGACAACACTATCGTGGCCTGCAACAATTTAGTGTTACCATCTTCTTCATTGATTCTAATTATTTTCTCCTTTATTGAATGTGTGGATAAGAGCTAAAATTCAAATCTATTTGTCTCTAAAGTCCATTTTCTTTTCACAACAATAAGAACAACAATCTCATTAATAATAAAAACTAGCATTTATTGGATATTTACTAGGTACAGGAACCATGCTAAATTATTTATCTACATTATTTTAATTTTTTTAAAGATTTATTTATGCATACAAGAACTGGAGTACAGGCCAGGGGTGTGGGGGCTGAGAGGATTCACCAGAGATAGAGTGGGGAACAGAACAGGCAGACTGACTGAAATACACTGCTGAGGGAAGCAGCGGGCAAGACAGGAATGGTCTGCAGTACCATGTGGGTAGCTCCCTGGCAGGGGATCAAACTTGTGCTGCAGTGGCTGTGGATAACTTCAGAGGTTGCGTCTTAACCCCTTTCACCATAAGGGAGGCCCTGTTTCATTTTATCTTAACAGCAAACTTATCAGGCATAGACTTCATTGTTATAAAGGAAGAAATAAGGCTCCAAGAGATAGAGTAACTTTCTCAAAGACATGCAAGCTAGGAGATGGTAGAGCCAGGATTCAAAGTCACCATGGCTGTCTTAAGAACCCACACCTCTAGCCACTTTGTGTAACTGTTACATGTTCAGATTATTTTTTTTTTTTTTTGTTCAGATTATTTTTGTCCTTTAATTATTAGAATAATGCAATTTATTTCAACACATCAATAATACTAAAACTCATGGCTCTTTGGTTTCTGCAAGTAAAAATAGCATCATAACAGTGTGGCAAGAGATTTGGGACATCCATTCATGTCATGAAAGCACAGGAAATGCTGGTGAATAATGACCAGAGTAATTGTTTATGAGTTAGGGGGACCACTGGACCCTTTCCAAGAATAAATTTTGGTCTGAGCTCTGGTGATGTCTGGAAAAGGGGAATGATAACACAAGAAGGAACTATATAAAACTTAAGGTCAAATCAAGCCTAAAGGGCACTCCCCCCTCACATTAAAACATTGTGTAGATAATTTAAAAAATTATCTGCCAGGGCACTCCTAGGGCTGGCGATTAAGGGCCTGACGGTAGGAGGGAACATAAACACTCTGCAATAACAAATAGGAGAATGTTTTCTTCTACCCTCTTCCATGGACAAGAATTCTTTTGATCTTATGACCTCCTCCCCAGTCAAATACTCAAGGAAGTTACCTATTTTCTGGGGTTATGTGGAAGTGGATCATATGTGGGTGGTAAGGCAGAAGAAAGTGTTTTGTGACGTTCCAGGCAAATTGTCTGGAAGTAAAACCATGGTTGAGACCAGAAGAGAAATCAAGAAAGTCATTTCCTGCCATCCTGACACATGCCAGCAGAATGGGGGACACGTAATGACTATAATCACCTTTTTGTCCATAGTTTATGACAACGTAATCCTGACATACTACCTGTATGTAGCTATTAATGCATACAGGCAATACAGATGGTACAAATGTACAAATTGCAAGTTAAAACCTAAAGTGAGCAGAACTTATTTTTTTTTAATAACAGAACTTTGTTGAGAGCTTCCTTTCTGTTAGTGGAATCAAGTTTCTTTCCCTTACTGTAGAATCACCTCTAACTTCTGAGAGAGGCTGGTGGAAGTATCAAAGCATTGACTGGGATGGGAATGAGTGCAACAGGGGAGCAGAGTTGTCTGTTCTGATGACCTTCTGCCAATGCCAATATCAGCTGAAATGTCCCTTCTAGTCTAAGAGGTCCTGAGCTGGTCAGTGTCACCCCATATGGCTCACAGGTACTTGTGAGGACATCTGATCCCTGCTATTAACCCCTAAATAAACTACCAGTACACAAGTCATCAGTTATGTGAGGCTCTGCTTTCAGAGGGAACAAAGAGAAGGAAGACCTTTAAAATTTTTTTCAAAGCTTCAGCAAGATCTTTGATTAGTTTTGGGATCAGAATTGAGGTGTATAATAGCGGCTCTGTTTTTGCACTCTAAGCTCAAGTAGGCACAATTTGAAAGAGGTAGTGTTGGTAGTGGAATGGACAAATGGAACATTTATTTATTAGTGAGTTTTGTTGTTACAATAAGGCCATGTAACAAGCTACCGCAAGATGTGGTGGCTTGCAGTAAGCATTTATTCTCATTCTCACAAGTTGCCAAGATGACAAATTCAGTTTATTTACATTGCATTCATCTGGACAGATCTGTTTCATGCTGTGGGTTGGCAAGTTTGGTTCCAGAATCTGGATTTGGTTAGATCCGCTCTATAGATATTTGTTGTGGACACTGGGCTGAAGGAGTAACAGCTCCCATTGACATAATCTTCTCATAGCACTGGGTCACTAAAAGCAAGAGTCAAGCCAAACTGTGCAAGCACATTTAAAACCCTGTTTGCATCATGTCTGTTAATATTCCATTGACCAAAACAAATCACATGGTCAAGCTCAACATCAATGATCCAGGCAAGTATCCTCTGTCCAAGGGGCAGAAGGAGTAGTGTAAATCATCATCATCATCATCATCATCATGTGCTAGAGTCTTGCAAAATTATAAGGTAGTAAGGAAAACATTTCTCTTTCTCCTAAAGGTTTAAGTTGACATTTAACAATTCATGTTTATCCCTGGGACATGTGTATTTGTGTTTGTACTTCTAACCTACACATGGTTAATCTAATTACTACTGAGTGAGTGTTCAGAAGAAAACAGAGACACATCTTCAATCCTTCTGGTAGAAAGACTTTGAAGATGGCTGGAATAATTATGACTTAGGAGAAAGCAATTGAGTAGGAAGGGAAATCAATGTTCCTCACTAGGAAGGTCATATTCTGAAAAGGCACATGGAAACTCCAGGAATGGAGGTCTGAAGCAATATAGAAAAGTATGTCTGAGGAGAGGGGTGGATCAAAGTTGGGGGAACCCCTGGGCAGAACTTAATGCTTAAGTGTTGTACTCTGTCCTGTGAACAAAGTCATGATGAATAGTTACAAATAAGTCATCTCCCATGTAATAAGTTCCCTTAGTTTTTCCTCTTTTTTCCTTAACACTTCAGGTAAAGCTCAGCCCCACAAGTTTGTGTGTTATCAAGAAAGTGAGAGACCGGACTGTGGAGTAAAATGAAATACACCTATTCAAGTGGGTTCTTAAACTGCCTCCTAGAAGGCCCATTTTTCTAAAAAAGAATTAGTGTTTTAATGTGAACCTTCAACATTTGTTTTGTACCATCCATTTGGGAAACACAATAACTAAGAGAAGAAGATACTACTTTTGTTGGAAACATGAGCTTTTTTCTTTTTGACTGAGTGAGAAACCATTTATTTTTCTGATTGATAAGCATATTTTACATATTCTGGTTAATACATCAAGTGTATATAATGTGGAAGTGCCCTTAAGAATGCTGACTACACAAGAGAAACTCAGCTACACATTGTATTAGGCTATCAGGCAAATGGCACTAAAATCACAACACGTACATATTACACTTTTTTTCACTGACAGAGGATCATGCCTTTCAAAAATATTTTATTGGATGAAACTTTCTTATTTTCAGGAAAATTTTGGTTCTTTAATATAATTATGCCCTTTAAAATGCTGTTTGATAAAAGCATTGGTACATTATAAATACCTGTAAAGAAAATATAGTTTAAAATTCCAAGGGAAATATTATATAAGTTTCCTCTTTTACATTTTCACAAAAATCCACACAGGCACTAAGAAAGACTGACAAAAATATTTTATGTCTGAACAAAATACTCCAAGTTGGAAACATCCAAACGTGATTTCATTTAAGTATTAAAGCTTCTCTAGAGTGAACCTTTGGCTAGAATCCAATGAGTTGGTTGGGGTTTTAACCAGGAAAAGATACTGTTAAGGATGAAAAAGAAAGCTTTATACATTTAGCACTAGATTAGAAGTGAAGAAAGGGTGAGTTCTAAATTATTACCACTTACTGGTTTCTCTGGGCCTTAGCTTTGTTTTCAGTTGAAAATATATCTAATATCCAATAATTCTCTGGTCATTTTCAGAGCTAATGCTTTTTGATATGCTGCAATTTTCAAAATTATAGCCAACACTTACTATATCAAATACCACCTGAAACTTTAAGGACATAGTGAAATTGCAATCCCATTAGGAGAACATCCTCTAATCATCACAGGTATTACTTTGGAAATCACCTCATTCTGCCAAAATTCAAATGGTAGAATAGGGGTAAACATGACTACCTACATTTCACACCAAAGCAAGTGATTGACTCTAGTGTTCTCCTCCTGGTCCAGTTCAATGGCATGTGTGATCTTACGGAGTTCAAATGTCTTGGCAAGTTTGCAGACAGCACATTCCAGTAGGCAACTGGAAGTTTTGAGAGTATATAGATTATAGGAACCTAGGGGTTGACAGCTAGTGAATTAGTATAATGAGCATATATAGGTGAGGTGAGATTAAGTAACCACATCAAACTGAATTTCAGATGTACTTTCAAGGGTCTAAAAATACTATTTTGGATTTATAAATTAATTAGATCATGGGAAATGCTCATCATTATTATAAGATCCTGCCTGAAAGGAGCTGTGGACATTTTTCCTAATGCATTTACACATATTACATGTTCGTTCAGTTCCAGAGCAGGTACAATCTGATGCCTGTGGAACACTGACAAGTGCAGTGGCTTCTATGAGCAGTGTGAGCAGGTGCCACAGGACCTGGCATTAAGTTGAACTTCAGCTCCAGCCAGCTGATGTTGGGGGAAAGTTATGTCTAGGGGTGGGATTTTATATGGAATCGTGTATTCAATAATCACTCCTGTTTATAAACATTTCACATGCCAAACAAAATCTACCTGAAGTACAAAGACAGCCTGGGAGCTGCCAGGTTGTATCCTCTGAGTTAAAGCGTGGGAGAAATTAATTGGGTGAGAATTTGTATGCTATCAGCTGTAAGACAGGGAAGGGTCTCTAGTATCTGGGAATGAACCCAGTTTCAAAGACCTAGAATAAATATAATTTTCAAAATACCTCTAATTGATTCTCGTCATTATGAATATTTTCCTGTCATTATACTGGTTTTCTGTTATGAGTGGTTTCCTGTTAAGATGATTTAAAAAAAAAATCGTGGCTAGGAATTTCTCAAGTTCCAAGTGTAGGTTTGCTCTAAGGGTAGAAATAGTTCTCTCGGTATTTAGTTTGTGGCTGAGAAATGAGACAGGTGAGGAAAACCTTCAGGAGGGGAGGGAGAGGAAGACCAGCATACAGCCTGAATCATTGCTACCTTTAAGCCCATGGAGGCCTTTGTATGGCACACCAGGCAAAGAGTGTTCTAGAATTGTTCAAATCTGATATCACGTATTTTCAGGTCTGTTTTATAGTTAAACCACCAATCTTTCTCCTCAGATAACCGGATGGCCACCCCCTGAATGAGTGGTACTTTGGAGTACAAAGGCCTAGAATATGGTTCTAATTATGACTCTTTCATTAGACTTTCCATATTGTGCCTTGGCACCAAATATTAATAACCACATTGGCAAAGACAGGGGACGAGATATAGGAACGTTTTATCTCTCTCCTCTTTTCAGATTACTTGTTCAAATTAACCTACTGCCTAGGTTACACCTTTTCTTTTGAGATATGAAACAGGGGGTGCCTAGAAGGGGCTCCAATGTAGTGCGAGGACCACCTGTAAACTCTTTCTGCAGAAAGAACAAACCATTTTACTTGTGCAGGCAGGGAAGACACATTTTGAATGAGCTATAATCAGTTCAGAAAAATGGATTTACTACTCGAGCTTGTCCCTTTCAAATGTTCTTGGGGAGAAAAAGAAAATTACCACAAAGGATATTATAAGCATAAGAATCAATGACAAAAAACAACCACATCAGATACAGGCAAAATCTAAGGGGAAGGAAGAAGCATGAATATTTCCAACTCAGGACCATACACTTATTTTAATTTTCCTCCCTTAGAATGTCCACCAGAGCCTGCAGCAGCCGGTCGTCTCTGTGCTTGTAAGGTTTCGTGTTATAGAAAACATCAACATAGTCGTTATACAGATTGTCCTCAGAGTCTTTAAGCTGGGAAGGTTGGTTCAGCTTTTCCAGGGCTTCATAGAAATTTTTGTAAGGGATGCTGAGCTTTGCACTTGGAGACTTCTTTGGTGATTGCTTTGCGGATGCGTTTTTGCTGAAAGCACTTTGTAGGAGACGCAGCATGGCTTCAGAGGGGGCTCCCTCTGCTAGGTCATCCCTTCTGTCCCCCACACTGCCGAGGCTGGGGCTTTTTGATGTCGCAGGCTTCTCGTTCAGGATCTCCTGTGTGGGCTGCTCCTAAAGCACAGAATGCCACCAGCAAAGAGAAGAAGTCTCATTATTTTGGATCTGGTAGGCCTATGACCTATTCCTGGAGAGGCATTTTGAGAAGTAGAGAAAGCATGAGACTTGGAGTCACACTAACTTTGGTTTCATTTTTTCCACTTACTGATGTACTCTTGCTATCTTTTAACCTCCTAACTTTATATGTCAAATGGAAATCAGAATACCTCCATTTCTGATGGGTTTGAAGACTGAATGAGATGCTGACATAGGTAAGTGCTAATACTTACTCATCCCTTTCACATGTCAGTAAAATTCATGTAGGAGTACTTAATAATTTTTAATTCATTAATTTAATTTTATTTTTTTAAAGATTTATTTATGCATAAAAGAACTGGGGTACAGGCCAGATGTGTGAGGGGTGAGATTGACTGAAATACACTGCTGAGGGGAGTAGTAGGCGAATCAGGAGAGGTCTGATATGCTGTGTGGTAGCAACCTGGTCGGGGATCAAACTCGTGCTGCAGTGGCTGCGGATAGCTTCATAGGTTGTGTTTTAACCCCTTGCGCCACCAGGGAGGCCCAAATTCATTAATTTTAATTTCTAAATTCTGGAATTCTGGATAAAAGAACACATTTTTAAAAATAGGGTTGTACCCTGTGGAAAATAAACAGCTTACCCCTCCTATTCCCTTCCCTCTCCATCCATGGTTTAGAAAGGAGCTGATATTAAATATTTAATAACTCATAGACTAGACACCAACAATGCTGTCATATGGAAACAGTTTCCTAGGCTCCCTCCCTCTGTCAGGAGTTTCCCTTTCAGCTGTGAGGGAGATATGGGATCTGGGGACAGACAGGCTTGGTGGCTGGCTACTAGGGCAGGCAGGGGGGCAGACATTGAAAAGATTACAGAAATAAAGCTTTGTTAACCATTGTGGAAATATTTCATCATTTTGACAATCAAAGATTCCTACTCATGCCTGTAAGGAATCTCTGAGGGATAAAATACCCACAAGGTGCCTCCTTAAATGGAAAGTGAAGATGCCTGGCATGCATCATGGGGGTGAGGAGCTGGGGGTGGGGAACTGCTTTCCAACACATGAATAGGGCCAAAAATCTGAGTTGAGGCCTCCACACAACTAGTCTACAAGTGCCTTGAATAAATGCTGTGTCCTCCAAACACCCAGCACTGAGCCAGACTTCAGTAAAGGTCATGTACAGCGAAGTGAAATTTTCTGAGAGAAACTGATTCTGTAATTCTGTAGCTTGGAGTTTCCAAGAAACTCCTTTATTAAGGAGTTAGTAAAGAGGTTGACAGGATTTGGTCACTTAGTCTAGATTTTCTTTCTGTAAAATGCACATACTAATAGCTATCCTTTCTTGGGATTACTGGTTAAATGAGACAATGTAGATGCTTAAAAATGAAGTCAGTTCACAAGTTAGGTATATATTATCATGCAAATCTGCAGTTCTCTTTACAATTTAATAGTTATTATAAATGAGTTAATTCACTTTAAGGAATTTAATAATTTCAATTCATTAACTTTAATATTAAATTCTGGATGAAAGTATAAATTTGAAAAATAATAGGGATTCAACCTATAGAAAATAAACAGTTTAACCCTTTCCCTCCGCTTCTCCCCACTCATGTTTGACTCACTCGTTGCCAGATAAGTGCAGCCTCCCTCACTGTATTGTCTACTACAGTTAAAAAAGAGCATGCCAAGAAGAACCGAGCCACACAGACCTCCCCTGAATCCACCATCTTCTCCACCCCTCTTCTGTCGTTCTGAACGGTATTGTAGGATGTGTACACACGAGGCTGTTTCATGTGCTCTGGCTGGGTAGATGTCCCATGCAAAATCAGCTTCCAGTTCACAATCCTGCCTTCATTTTGCATTCTTCCAGACTAATAAATAAGCATACATAATCTTAGTGTGCATTCTGAGTAACAGTAAACAAACTCTTTCAAGATATCTAAAAAAGATTTTATAAAATCCAACTTAAAATTCTGTGCATTCCATGGGTACAGCTCTCTGTACAAATTAAGTAAATCACTGGAATCACTCTTACTATGAAAATTGACAGTGTAATGGATGGGCCTTGAAGGAATTATGCTAAGTGAAATAAGTCAGACCAAGTAAGATAAATACCCAATGATCTGACTCATACAGAGGATATAAAGACACAAAAACAAACAAAACAAAATAAAAACAAACTCCTAGATACAGAGAAGACTTCAGTGGTTACCAGAATGGGTCTGGGGGTAGATGAAGTGGATAAAGAGAGTCAGTTCTGTGGTGGTGGATGGAAGCCAGACTTTTGGTGATGAACATGAGCTCGTGTACATAGATGTTGAATTACAATGCTATACATCCAAAACTTATACAACATAATGAACCAATTTTACCTCAATACAATTTAAAAAAGATTTATAAATTCAAAGCATTAAAACTAATTAATATCTTCATTTAGTTAAAAAAGCAGAATTCTCTTTTTCTATATTGGTGTGTTCTTGAAAAGTTGACTGTACCTTCCTTAAACAGTTATATTTACCCATTATCCCCTTCTAGAAACATTCTATTGGGATAAAACGTCAGGCTCTATGATGTATTATAAGTAGCCTTCAACATTAATCAATCCTTGAAATCTATGTATTGTGGGATGGCTAATAATTTTCAGGGGCTCAATAATTATGTTAGAAGTAATGTGCTGAAGTATAAAATATCTAAAAAATACCTGAAAAGTGTAAAGTCAGATTTTTGGGCTTATTATAAAGTGTTCCATCTTGGAAAACAGATTTTCTTAGTTTCCTGATGGTGAAATTGAGCTATAGGACGAGGGTCAAGTTCACAAATAGGTACATCCACTAAGAACATTTCCCTATTTTTCTATGAGAATAGGAATTTTCACAACTTTCATTTCCAAATAACAATTTTTGTAGGAGAAAGTTATTCTCAGAGGAAAAAGAAAATAAATGCTATTAGAATTTGTTTTCATTTAACTGACATCTTCAAGTTAATTATTTAAAATAATTTATTTTTAAAAAATTATCTAGACACCGAAATCTAGCAGTGCTAATACTTACAACACTTCTATTTGAGAGAATTCAAACCCCAAACACTATTCATTTACATATTCACCTGCAGAAAATGCTGGATAAATGATGCAGAATTAAATAATTTAGGTGTATTTATTTGTTTTTTTGCTAAGACATTTCTTGTCTTATTTTTGTGACTGTGTTACAGGTTTAGAAAAACATCAAAGAGGTTAGTAAACACAGTGAGAGGACATTGGAAATGCTTTTCAGTTTGTTTCATAACTGAAATGAGAGTCAAATAAAATATATTGTCTAATAAGAAAATTATATCAAAATAGTCAAGTAGAAAATATTTGTAAGAGTTACTTCACATGACCACAACCAAGTGTCATACATTGATTGTGGGCGATGGGGTTGGCTACTTTCTGACATGGAAACACTTGAATTTGTTCCATAACCTGTCACATTGAGTATCAAAACATCTTTTCTTTCTTCTTATAGCATGGCTGCTGCCTAACCTTTGTTTATTTGTTTGTTTATAATCATTTTGCCAACTGGGCAAAGCTTGAAACACTACACCTTTTCCTTGGTCATGCTAGGGAGTGATTAAAGTTCCTTAGGACTTTGATTAATGATGATACCAACCTTAAAAGTATTTCAAAGTGTTTAAAAGTGAACTGTGTTTCTATATCCTTTCATTCATACTTACCATATCTGTTATTTGCAAAGTCCAGGTACCTATGGGATTCTCTCCCCATGTGTGAACAGACATGAAGTCCCAATTCTTGAAGCCATTGGGAGATGTATCCCGCTCTCTTTCAGCCAACAGTATGGTGCTGGTTCCTATTTTCATGCAACACACATAAGTTGATGAATGTCTTAACAGCTCTGATAGTAGGATACATTTATAGCATCTGATAACTGAGAGTGAAAGCTGGGAGAGATTAGCTGTCTTCATTTTCTTTTTTTTTAGTATAAGGCCAGAATTGAGACATTCACAAGCAAAAAAATGTTTTATCTATAGTACTTAGTACATTACCTGACATATAATAAATTCTCTTAGGGCAGAGAGGGAAGTAAAGTAAATTCTCAATAAATATTACAGAAAAATGAAGAATGGATGAATATATTGATTAAGGTTTATTTGAATAAGGAGAATTCAGACTACATTAAAATCAAACTATTTTAAAGCAGAGAGTCAAAGACTTAAAATACATTTCAGTGAAACAATCATTGTGAAATATCAGAGGAAATCTTACAAATGCAATAGGTGCCTGAATCTATAATTAGTATAAACATTAAAAAAGTTATATTAAATGTTATAATCAGTATAAACATAAAAAAGTTATATTAAATGTTATATTAATTTAATATATCTTGTCATATAAAAACTAGTAGTAGGAGTAACTCTAATTTTTCAAATCCAAGCTCTCCTAGAAATATTTGTTGCTAAGTGAAAGGATCCTCAGTGAAAAAGGATCCCACTAATATTTCATGACAATTCCAAGACATCTAGAAAGTAACTCCAAAATTAACAGTGCTCACTCCAAACCTCTAGGAAGTTCATATCCTATATGGAGCTTACAGAGATAGCCCAATAGTCCCCATACATCATCCAAAGAAATTGAATTTAGTCAGTTGAATCCCACTAAATCATGACAGAATGTTGAGACAGCATCTTCTGGTTATATTGTGGTTTATGGTCCACAAACTTGTCCCCATTCATATCTCACTTGCAAATATCACATTATATGGTCTTAATCATATCATTATGAGAAATTTGTTATTCATCTGAATCCTCTTTCATGTACCATAATTTCAAGCTTTTTAACTGATTCATTGAATGTGAAGCTGATATATGCCAGCTTTATTAATTAATTATCAGAATAACTTTCATTTATGTATGACCTGAGATAACTGAATGACACATCAGTGACCTAGAAAATTGTATATAATTTGAAAACATGTAATACTGGAATAGACTTCTTTCTCTACTTATCTGTGAATCAGTAAAGAGAGAAGGGCAGTGTTCTGAAACAAAGAAAACTAAAAAATAATTTTTAAGACCTGAAAATAGCTATTAGGAGACTTAGTCCTATAAATAAGCAAAACACTCATTGGTTGGAAATCGTTCAATTTATAAACAAATGGCTTAGAAGAAATTTTTTAAGCTTAAAATGAATTTACCAGCAGCAGAAGTGAGTGTGACATGAAGGTCTCCTCTTCGGGAATATTCAATTGTTGCTTCAAATTGCACATGTTCCAGGGACTTGATAGCATTTTCCTGTCCTTCACAAGCTCTTGTTGGGATTTCAATGATAACTTCTCCATTGGCTTTCAGGGCTCTAAATACATTACAGAATCATTTTAGTCAAGTACATACACATCAGTGTTAACCAGATACTCAACCAAGTTGTTGTCTCTCCCCTGTTAAGAGTAGAACCCAATGGAAGATTAGCTATATATGAATTTTAAAATGTGTGTTGCATAGAAAATAATGAGGCATGGTTTTTACTGAAGAAAAACCAATTGTACATTTCATGGAAATATAAAAAGACAACAAATAGCTCAATCCTGAGCAAGAACAAAGCTGGAGGCATCACACTAACTGATTTCAAGATAAGTTACAAAGCTACAATAATCAAAACAGTATGATGATGACATAAAGACAGACACATGGACCAAAAAATTCATGCATATGTAGTTAACTGATTTTTGACAATGGTGCCAAGAATAATCAATGATGAAAGGGTAGTCTCCTCAACAAAGGGTGGAAAACTGGATGTCCACATGTAAAATAATGAAAGTGAGCCCTTATCTAACCTGTATATGAAAATCGACACAAAATGAACTGAACTTAAACCTAAGACCCCAAACTGCAAAATCTGAAAGAAAACATGGAAAAATTTATAACATTGAAGCAATGATTTATTGGCAATAGTTTTATGGCTATGACACCAAAAACGCAGGCCACAAAGCAAAAATAAGCAAGTGAGGCTATATCAAACTAAAAATATTTTACATAAAAAAAAGCGATGGAGCAATCAACAAATAAAAATGGATAATTTATATAATGGGAGAAAATATGTGCAAACTACAATCTGACAGGGAGTTAATCTCCAAAATATATAAGGTAGTCCTATTACAAAATATATAAGGTATTCCTATTACATATAAATGTCCAACAGGTCTATGAAAAAATGCTCAACATCACTAATCACCAGAGAAATTACAAATCAAAGTACTTGTTGTGATGCATTATAAAAAAAAAAAAAGACAAATGTTGGTTGGGACAAGGAGAAATTGAAGCTATTGCACAATTGGTGGGAATGTGAAATGGTGCAGTCACTATGGAAAAATTGTAGACTTTCCTCAAAAATTTAAAAATACAACTACCATATGTTCCAGCATTTCTGGATATTTGTCAAAAATAACTGAAGTCGGGAATGTCGATGAGATCCCATGTTCACTGTAGTACTGTTTACAATAGTCAAGATGTGGAAACAATAAATATCCATAGATAAATGAATGACAAAGTGGTACATATACATACAATGGAATATTAGTCAGCTTTAAAAAAGGAGAAATAATTCTGCAATATGCAACAATATGGATGAAACTTGAGGACATTATGCTAAGTGAAATAAGCAAGTTAGTCACAGAAAGATGTATACTATGACTCTACTTTTATGAGGTATATGAAACACTCAGATTCATAGAGTAAACAAGTGGAATGTGGTTGCCTGGACTTGAGGGTGAGGGAAATGGAGTTACTAATGAAAGGGCAAAAAGTTTCAGTTAAGCAAGATGAGTAAGTTCTACAGATCAGCTCTACAGCATTGTACATCTAGTCAACAATAACGGATTGTGCACTTTAAAAAATTTGGAATGGTTTATTTCATTTTAAGTGGTTTTTCCACAATAAAATCTTAAAAAAAAAAAACAGTAAAGAACACAGATATGTGAATACAATGCTATTTCCTGTGGAATCAAATTCAGGAGGGTTTGCTTTGAACCCATCAAAAAGTGGTCCATTATTACAATGGACAGGACTCTTACCCTCTTAAGAAGACTTTCTTAATAAATGGTTTTATTTTCCTAATGCATACCCTGAAACCTCCACCCTTAGGTATTTTGTGTGAGGGGGTTTTCAGTATTGGCAGAAATCAACAAAACAATTGTAACAGATTCTGCTTTTGTGGCAAGTTGTGGTGGGTCAGGAGTTTCTACATAAAAATAGTATAAAAGTGGATGCTTTATGGCAGAGAAGCCATCTATCACATAGCACTGTGGCATGAAGTGAGGCTCTTCTAGAAGTAGGTTTTGGATAATAATGGCTAGCAAGCACTCCATTTTACCAATTCTGACATGCATTATTTTTAACCTGTTAACTTCTTTATATCTTGGGTGAATCACTGATATAAATTGGCAATGATTTTTGTTAGTGGTATATTAAGCAATGTGTACCTTAAACTTAATGCTATATAGTGGGTAGACTGAGAGGGCAATCAAATGTGCCAATGTGATTTGCATGTCTTTGATCTCTCAGTGATTCCATATGGACTCACAAGGAACATTGACAAATGCCATCTCTACCTATTTCAGAAAGATAGGTGAGAAGAGTGACAAATATCATAATCAGGTGTTGCCATGGCATATATTTGTTTCAAATTCCTGAAGACACTTACCTGGGCTCAAAGGCATTGTCCTTTACAACACACTCTTTCTTCTCAGGAACGCTGCTCCAGGTCCTGGGATCAGCTAAATCCACCAGAGCTTTGGCATTAAGCAACCCAAATCCAAATCGACTATTCACCATTAAGCCTGCTCCATTCTTTTTCCATCCAGGATTATTAGCGAGTGGGTCATACTCAGAGGTCCAGACAACCAAGTGTTGCATATCTCGCCAGGTAAGATTTGGACTAGAGGGGAAGTGACCCGAAATATCATTCAGAAACAAAATAGAGTTTCCCTGAAAAAGCAAGGGCTAAAAACAAGTATCTCCAGTCAACGATTGAAATGTGTCTTTTGCAGTTATACTTATATAATTTTAGTCTGTATTACTATAGATTTGTCTTTTCAGTCAGAATTCAAAACACAGGACTTCTCCCCATATCATAGGCGTTAAGTTGTTAATATGATTAAAATAGAGTATTCAGCATTGTAAAAGAATATGATTTATTCCTTGATTTAGCTGGAGCAAAAATTAAAAATGACAAAACTTCCTTTGTGTCTTCCAGTCTTCTGTTGTCCATTAACTGCCCTGCCATTTTCAGCATTATGAACCCATAGATGAGGCCTTGACTTCCTTCTTAGGAAGACTTCAATTTTAAAGACACTAGCAACCTACTCTTGTATATTTTTTGTTTCTTTTAGTTATATATCAAAAAGTGTCAAGAAACTCTTAGCTACTTGAGTTCACAATTACAAGGTATGGTACTGAATACCGTGTGGATATGCAAGGAGGTGGTTCTTGTCTTTAAGAGGCTTACAATCCAGTAAAGGAACTAAGTCTTTTTATAACCAAAATATATCAGTTGAATGTGGGCATAATGTATTGTAGGTGAAGAAAGAATTCTTTGAGGCTGGAAAGTTCTAGGAGACTTTGCTGGGAGGAAATAATTGAGCTGGAATTTGATGAGTAGGTAGAATGCCAAGAAGTGGAGATGGATCAAAGGGCCTAGGACAAGGGAGTATCTCAGAGGATGGGCAGGGAGTACAGGGAATGACCAGAGTACAAAGAATGGTCTCATTTTCTGAGCAGGAAGAGGTGATCAGGAACATTGAGCTAGATGGTCAGGATCTTGAAAAGTGAGTTAAAGAAGCTTATACATCACCCTTTGGACAGTAAAGGATCATCTAGAATTTTTGAGCAAGAACATGAATGGTATAATCAGACGTCTTGGTGAGATTAATATAGCCGCAATATAAAGATAATAAGGGATGCAAAGAATTGTTGGGTCTATTATAATGAAGATACAGACTTTCCTTATGACAGTTATTAAAATTTCAGTTCTCCCTGTGAGCTCCTAAGCTTATCATCCTGCTACACCTTTCATGCACTGATTGCCTTCTAACATTCTGGGCAACTCATTTGTTTGGTGTATTATTAATGTCTATCTCCTCTGCCAGCATTTGCCATGAGAAGGACTGAGCTTTTTATCTACCTTGTTCTCTCATGTTCACCAAGAACTCAGAAGAATACAAGGCACAGGGTACATGCTGTGTAAATACTAGTTGGCTGAATGACAGAACATGCCTAAGTATTAACTAGCCCCAGATATAATTTTAAAACCTGTTGCTATTAGTCATTAGATTCCTTCAAGATCTCAAACATTTCTTTAGTTTTAAGATCTGTGTCGCTGTTATCAAGGCAATCAGCCATTATTTAATAAATACATGCCCAATTGTTTAGTCCTTTAACTGTTTATCTTATCACTAGTTTGTAAAATCATCACCAGAGGAACCTGGCTCAATTTGCCATCTTGTCTCCAGAGCACATAGTGTTCTGGTTAAACAATCCCCTCATGACAAAAAAGAGACAGTGCACATTCCTAAACACTGAGGAGCCCAGCTCCTGGTTAAAAACTGGGCTTCATCACAGGCAAAGGCAAAGGCTCTACCTGGGTCTCCAGGGAAAGCTGCCTCCCCATGCCAGCCTGTGTGCACCATCCGGGAGCAGCAGTCTCTGAAGTGAGTTGTAGTCAAGGATGCGTGTCCCTTCACTGGCCAAGCTCTTCCCATAAATACATTCCTAGCTCCTGCACTTTCATTGCTAGGTCTGCTTTGGAGTTCTTGGGTATCCCCCAAATGTGAGATGAGAGGAACCCCATAGAGATGAGATGAAGACACTTTATTCTAATCCGACTCCTAACTTTCCTCCTTACCTCACTCCTACCTGAGAGTCCAAAAAGTTGCCAAAGCCTTTTGTTGGGGTTCCTGTATCTGCACTGTTACCTGACTCTCAGTTGGTACACCTTTCCATGGGGGGAAACAAAAAGAGGGGGAGTTGACATCTTATCTGGTTTTAGACAAGTTTATACCATCAAAATATATTAACGTTTTCATTTTGGGTTTGTTACTTTAATCAGTGATTTGTTCTCTCTCAGTTCAGTTGTACTCCTGACAAATATGACATGTAACCTCAGAGAGTGACTGATAAAGTCCTTAGAAAGATTCCACCTTATTGATTCCAGGCGTCCCAGAGAATCCATATTATAATCACTGGGTACACTTACAAATGATGAAAATTCTTGAGCCCCACCCCAAACCTACTAAATTAATTATCTTTGGGTAGCACTTGATTTTTATTATTTATATTTGAAAAAACTATCCAGTTCTATCTTATAGCTAAAAATGTAGGAATTGAGAGAAAGAATATAAGCATATAACCAATTACGAAAACTAGTAGTCATTTCAAATCATGGGGTCAGAATAAGGAGTAATGAAAAGTACTTTATCTATATTCCACTACCAAAGACCTGTATGACCTTAAGCAAGTGACTTTATTTCATCTTCTGGGTTTCAGTATATATGTATATGTATATGTGCATGTATGTATGTATGGCAGAAGGGCTGAGTATGACAATCTCCACCATTCAGATGCCCTATCTTTTCAATATGATAAATATCTCATTGTGGATATCATTTCCACATCAGCCATTCCACATTCATGAATAATTAACTAGCTGAGCAGAAGTGGCTATTTTTTCCATGTAGAAACTAAATTCATCCTATAAAGTATTTTTTTGAAATTCTTAGTTCCTCCCAGTTTATTAAATTTCCAGGAAATTTTAGGTATGTCTCTCTCTTGTCAAGTCAGCCAGTGAATAACGTACCTATTTTCCTTGTGGACCTTAAGTATGAGCAGGTGTGCATGTGGAGGTTGGGATATGAAAGTGTACTAAGGAGGCAGAGAATTGTCTTGATAGACATATTGATTAAACACAAAACTTAGACTTTAATTTTATAATAGATCCTTTTTCATATCTAGTTGCAAGTTTTACTTTCCTAAATTTTCTTTTACCTATTCTTTGCAAAATATTCAAGGGAGCTTCATTGTCATGCAATTAAAGAAATTAAGCCCATTTCCTAACAGAGTTATTCTTCATTTGTGTGATTGCATTTCATAAATGAAAAAGAGCTGCTAACAATAGCATATCTCATTTCTGACAATCTTGCTTTGTTAATTAATGCTCAGCAGCAACCAAAATAATTACATTTTAAAAATTTACATTGGATAGCTAATCAAGGATATGTTTGTAGAAAATAAGGGTTATGTAATTAAACACTGCATTTAAGTATTGCTTCTAATTAGAAGAATGTAGGTAACATAATCTGGAGCCAATATTCCAAAGTGAAAAAATCTTAGGCCTACCTGGCTGTCTCTAATCTCACCTAGATAAACCAAGATATTTCAGACTTTCTAACATGGAAACTTGCCAACATTTCACAACCCACTGAGTCAAAGATTTCTGTAATGTGATTTATCCAAAGTTTCCATGCAGTCTTGAGAGTCCATTCCCTTTCTGCAGCCTTTAATAAAAAACAGAAAATTGGTTCATCCCTTAGAGATGAGAGAGGATGTAATGTTTCAGTTCAGAATTTTTATTCTCTATTAAAAATCATCTTATTCATTTGGTCTCTCCTCAGAAGACTGAGGTTATTGCCTGCCATCTTTCTTAGGTATACTCACTGCATAATAATAATGGCTTCCACAGGAGTTTATCCAGAGAATCCCTCTCTCTTAGTAGAAGAAAGCTAGATAGGTAGATAGACAGAAGGACAGACAGACAGATGATAGATAGATAGATAGATAGATAGATAGATATAGATACTTTTATAGATGTACACACCAGGCTATGCCTATTCAATACACTAATCTTCAGAATTACAACTGGATGACTTATAGGAAAACTATAGTTGTAAAGTAACTCTTTATAGCGATAGTTCTCAAAATTTAACTAAACATTAGAACCTCTTATATTACTTGTTATGAAAAGAATACCAGACAGTGGCAATAAGAGCTAGATATCTGCATGGTAAATAAACTCCCAAGGTGATTATATGCTGGGTTGGAGAAACACTTCCATGGAAGAGAGGTTCTTCTCTATCCATATTTGAGCCAGAAATATTTCTTTCCTCTTTTCTCCCTTCCTCCCAGTCCTCCAGGTATGTCATATCTAATGCAGCAGTAGTCTGTTTGTAATAAGAAACTTTTAGGAGGAACTCCTAAACAAATGAGCATTCTCTATTCCTTTTTCAGACTTAATCTTATTGGCCATCACTCCCCCTTCTTTGGGAGGATGGAAATCAACATTTCGTCTCCTTCACAAGGCTATAGGAAGCAGTTTGTTATAGTTGTTGACAACACAGATCTGGGGATCAGACAGACCTTTGAATCTCTTTGAGATATATTGGCAATACATCTCAATCTCTGTAAGTCTCATTGTCTTCATTTATAAATGCAAAGCCTAATTTGCATGTCACAAGTATGTGTAAGGATTAGAATTAAAATTTTACAATTACAATATTTATAAAGAAGCTAGCACAGTGTCTAAACCATAGTAAGAACCTGATAAATACTGTTATTATTCTTGATAAATTTAGCCCAGAGTTCTTCAGTTTCCATAGTTTCTCCTTGAGGAATAGCACATGGTTAAATCATTCTCCCAATTTTGATTGTCTGGGGATAAAGCTTGATCATACTTCTAGAAATTCTGGCATTCATAGTTTCTGAAATTATAATCTTGTTATAGATAATTGAACTGAGTTCAAAAAACTGTCCATTTGAGAACATGTACTTTGGCAGGAAGAATATAAATGTTAAGATAGATTATGTCTGTCTTACTGATGCTTCAATCAAAATGAAAGGAATTAAATTCTTATTATATGCACCAGGGAAATCATAGGCTCTTAATATCTCTGAAATCATGAACTATGTGAGAAGCTGATGGAACCTATAAACCATTATCCAGAAGAAATACCATGTACACACTCACAAATACATTGTATATATTTTCAAAAAGGTTCATGGACTTCTGGAAACATCCATGTACTTCATAGCAATCCATTGAGCCCCTGCTATAGAAATAGCCTACCAAAAAGAGCCACATATTTTTGGCTTATATCATTTTCTTATATCATTTTCTCCTTGCACAGATAAAGGTTTGAAATTTTAAAAACCGGAAATTGCAATTTAAAAATTTCAGCTCTTATGTGAAATTAATATTATAATTGTCTGGCTAAGTGGGTGTTTCTACTATATACTAGTCACCAGACAAGGATGCTCTAGGCCTGTCATGCTATATTGATATGCATATGACCTGCTGGGCAGGAAAGACTTAGACTTCCAGGATGTTTTTTTTTTTTTTAACAGTTCCCTGGAGTTAACAGCTTATATCCTGAAGCCATAAATATCATATACCACCTGTGTGAACTGCTTGCCTTCATGAGACCTTATTTTCTTCCACTCTGGATCCCTCACCATGAACTTTAACAATTCATTTTGAATGATCCATATATGTTGACAATGTCCATTCAAAGCTCAGAATCTTGTAAAGTGAAGAGATTTGCCATAAATAAATAAATAAAAAGGTGGCTGCTCTCCTGCCCACCTGTGACTACACAGGTGTTTCCTGTCACCAACCTTCTCCCTTTGCCTGCTGTGACCATGCAGGCTTCTCTTTTAACAAACCTATCCCTTTCAAGGGCAGCTCTTTCTGCCCACTTGTGTCTGTGCAAGTATCCTTTATTCTTCTCTCCTTTCATAATAAACCTGCCCTTTTAAATATAAAAAAAAATGATCCAACCCCTTCCATTTTATAGATGGCTAACTGAACCTTCAAATGTGGATTGATATGAAGTTCACATGACTAGTGATATACCTAGAATGTGAAGTCACGTGTTCCTTACACTTTCAATTTTTGATACTACTTTCCCTCAGATTTGGTTTGAAACTAAAGAAACCAGTTTTAGATTATAGACGTTGTCCTCTGTTTTTCCCGTCCTATGACAAGTGAACACAGATTCTGAACACTGAATCTGTTGAGCCCAAGAGCTCCAGGTTTCCCTGTTTGCAGCTGAGCATGTGGGCTTGCTCTTTGCTTACCACACACTTGGCCAGCTCCTCCAAGTAGCAAGACTCTTAGTACAAGCCTGTCTTGTTCCGTCACTGTGGCCATCTCATAGCTGATCTACCAGGGCTTAAACCACAGCTCCACAGGAGGCCTCAGGGCTCCTGGGCTATCCTGGACTCCTCAGGACAAAGTTCCAGTAACTTCAGGGCTTTTCTGTCTGTGACACAGGCCAACACGTTCTACTCTTCTGCAGCCGTGAACCTTGTTTACTAAACGTCATATGAGGTAAAGACTTTGTCCTCTCTTTAGAGAATGTGTGTTCTTCTATGATAACCTACTTATTAGGAAGGATAATAGTAATTTACAAGTTTAATCATTTCCTGTAACATGCAAGCATAGCATCTGACTTGGCCTTTAACGATTTCTCCCTACACAACATCAGGGCATAGAATAGAGGACAAAAATAACAACTCTGACCATACAGTGTGAGTTTTTTTCCCTCAGTATTAAGTATTGGACTATTGGTTAACTATTATAAGGATAAAAATAGCATTAAAGACCTTTTAATATCAGGGAATAAAAGTAATGGGGGGGTGTTTAGAACTTAAATATGGTAAAGGAACCATAATAAAGACAAATTAATGTATCTAATTTGGGGTTGTGAAGATTTTTTTTTTGAGCATAAAAAAGGGGAAAGTCGTAAAGAAACAGATTAACAAGTATGTGATACATATTAACTTCATTGCATTAAAAATTAAGTATAAATAAAACCCAAAAGGTAAATGTCAAGCTAACCAAGTATGAATTGCTTTCTAAAGTAAGACCAAAAGACAAAATCAAAGGCTCAAATGAGCAATCCTATAAGTTAAATAGCCAAAGAATATCAGCCACAAAGCTTCATTAGTAATGAAATAAAAGCACATAAAGATGAGCTACCATTTTCACTTATTAAAACATTTTAAAAGATAATAAAAGTAGCTTTCATAAGGGTTTAGGAAATCAGCACTTACACAAATATACAGCTCCTGGAAAAATAAAATGCTAGAGTTTTTCCAATCAGAAACTTGTCAATGTATCAAAATCACTAAAACATGTAAGCCCTTTAACTCAGAAATTCCAATTCTGAGTGTTTATTCATAGGAAATTATCAGAGATAAAAGCAAATATTTATGCACAGGGGAGTTTATCTAAGCATGATTATGTGACTTTAATCAAGCTTACACTTGTGTAATAGAGTATTCTGAAAATATAAAAATCCTGTTTTTAATTCTCATGTTCCCTGATGTGTCATATCAACCATAGGACTGGATTTATAAAATCTGGAAAAAAGGATGTTTTATAAACTTGATGTTTCTAGTACGATGCACAAGAAATCATCTGAACAAATTCTTTCCTGGTGAGACTGAACAGACGTGAGAAGGCCTTGCAGCTGAACAGAAGGAGAACAGGGGAGAAGAACAAGAATTCTTAAAAGTCAAGGAACATTGACTTCTAAATGAGTACATGCTCTTAATATACTATAGGGTATATTTAAAAAAAAATGACAAAGTAATGTGTATTTAAATTAAGATATGGATGTGCATTAAAACTACATTGAGATGTTAACAGGAAGAAAGCTGGTTTTTATTATTTTTGTAGCTTTCAAAGTTATGTATTGTAACTGTGTATTTACAAAACAATACATGTTCAAACAAAGCAGAAGAAGCAACCTCAGTAAAGGTGACTAGATTTCTGGGCCTTACTTTGCTTCCAGGGCCAGAGCGAAGATACCAGCAGCTAAGGGCGCGGAGGCTGAGGTGCCAGTGTGGGTCTCCGTGCAGTCATTGTGCAGGTCAGCACTCGTCTGAAGGAAGGAAAGAACGAAGAAGAACACATGAGGAGTGTGATGCTGTCCCCAGGGGTTAACCATATTGAGGGCTGCATCTGCTATGAGCAGGAAACTCAGCTGATTCGATCCCCTACTTCCTCCTCCAAACCACAGGCGGATGTTTGCCATCTGCTGATATTTTAGTTCACTCTCCTCTATATGCAACTTGTCTATAATTCTGGCATCAGGATGCCTTTTTCTGGGGATGAAGTACTCCCACTATGAATATTTTCTCTTCTGAGATTCCCAAACGAAATGCTGTCTGTAAAAAAGGGAATGTTTCAAAATCACTGTGAATCATGCTGGCCCATTAATCATCAGGTCCATTGTGTTTGGTCTGGCATATTTAGAAATTCTGCTCATGCAAAATTCCCTTTTGCCTTCAGACTGACATTTGATGGCCTCTCCAGCATGAAGATATAAAGCTCTCCTGGCCTTGGCCACTGGAACTACTTGCACAAAATGTTTAGTGTGTCTCGCACCCACAGTTGATTTGATGCCCATGAATTAGTGTCACATTTGCATTTTGATGAAAATGCTGAGTTTTTCAAATGAAAAGTGTACTATACTTAGGTCTATGTTCAAATTCAAAAACTACTACTTAGTAGATGCATCCCATGAGCAAGTCACTTGGTTTTCCCATCTGTAAAACGAGGTTGACACTTCTTAACTCATACTCTGAGGCAGAAATAAGATACTGGCTGTGAAAGCATTTCTACACAATATTATTGCATGCAAGGATTACCTGGGCTAATTTTAGCAAAATGAAGAGGTTGCCAAGATTAAGGAAAGAAAGCAAAAAGACTTCTAATCAGTCTGCCTTCAGGACCACAGTGCTATTGGTTGAACAAGTAGTTGGGCCAAAGGATTACTAACAAGACACCCACCCAGACTCCAGCACTATGGTTTTTAGCTAGAGATTTCAATGTGTGGGAGGGAGGTGTAAAAAAATAATTTGTTCTATTATCACCTCCTTTGGCTTCCCACTTGGAGTCACTGAATTTCTCAAGTTATGGTGGCTCTGTTTCTCGGCAGGCTGCGGAAGCAAGGTTGCCCTTTTTACCTGTTGACGCAAGTAAGCCCCCAGAGATGACTGTGCTAAGAAAGAGGTTTGCGTAAGACAAAGCCGTGTTTTTGCAACCATCTCAAATAGAATCCACCAGCTGTCTCTGACTTACCTAAGGAGGGATCTTTACAAAGATGGAAACTCTTCCTCCTACTTCCATGCACAGTAAACCAGAGGAGGGACAGTCTATGAAATGGATTTGAACTATGTAACAGGTCATTTTCTAAAAGGTAACTTGGACACCCACAGGCTCCACAGAAGCTGGGGGCTCTGAACACAAGTGGGCAAATGTCTGATAGCCTTCTCTCAAAGACGATAAAATATGCCTGCCATAAAGAACCCCTGGGTAGAATGACACTGTCTATTATTTCAGGAATTGAAGATAAAGACAAAGCTTTTAAGTTGAGACCACAGCTTTACTGTCCAACCTAGAGTAAGTTGCAGAGACAGGCATATTTCCAGAATAGTGATCGTGGATTAGATTCCAAGGTCTAATCATTAAGGGATTCACCTGCAATTGAATTGGATCATGACCTATTATTTCACTGAAGTTAGGATCTACACACTAGCTGTTACAGGCTTGTTACAGGTCTTCAATATGGGGCTTTAAATTTTGAAATTAAAAGTGCCCTTGTTTGTTCTCCAAGCCCCAGAATGGCCCATCAACATTGTGCCCCTGAAGGGAAATCAAATAATTGCCCTTGGCAGTCTGACTCATGGAAGTGAAGGCAGAGCCCAGCGTGGGCAGGAGATACTCTCTGAGCAGATAACCTTCCTGAGCTGCTTATTTGGACGCTGAGAAGTTCACCTCCGGGGAAATCTAGACTGTTATTTTCCTGTAGGCTGTATGTTCTCAGGAAACAGAGCTGTATATGTGCTTTATTTTTATCATCTGCTAAAGAGCAAGTCAGACCAGATCTCTGCTATTACAGGATCAAGAAGGACGAGGGTGACAAATTCCCTATGGCCCTGCCATCTCCTTTAAGGCCCTTCGCAGGGAGGTATCACACAAGTAAAACAGACATTTGGAGTCTTTTCTGTAGGTAATGACAGGCTTGGTGATTTCTCAGGGCTGAGTTTAAAAATGACAGAGGCAACATTATCTTGGCAGAAGTGTCATTATCTCCGAGAGAGAAAACTTCCCAATATATGTCAGTCTTTCAAGCAAGCGAGTAAAGCATGAGTCTCCTCAACTGAGACATCAAGCTTAAGCAAATCGATTTTACCAAACATAATGACCAAGGCATCCTTCTGAATGCAAGCTGCACTCTCCCACCAAGGCAGAGAGTTAGACAAAAGCAACATACGATTCGCTGGTCCGTGTAATCCCCGCTGCTGTATGAGGTGGCCAGCGTGGAGGAGCACTTCTCGGCGTACCAGGGGGACAGCCCCTGCTGCGAGGCGCTACTGATGGAAATGGTGTAGATGCTGTCTGTGTACCCATCGCAGTCACAGTTATCACCCTGACGCCCCCCGTTTCCAGAAGCCCAGACAAAGATGGAGCCCCTTCCTTGTCGCCCCTGAAGGAGAAGACAGAATATACCACATTGTTGATCACTGACAGCGGCCACTGTCACACCCCAATAAAATTCCCAACAAATACATGAAGTTCTTAGAGATAGTTATTTGGAATCGCTTTCCAACACCAGATCCTTCAGCGGTAATGTGGGAAATCTCACGTATTGCAAGCCACTGGACTCTGGTCCTGCCAGTCTTCCTTCATCTGGGCCCTTTTTGCAATAAGGCTGAGCAAGGGCTTTTCTTTCTTTCCTTTATTATGCAGATTCATAATCTGGCCTTTAGCACTTGCTCATATTTTTCCACTTTTCCCTTGGCTTAAGTCACTGTGCTTGAATCTTTGAACTTCCTCTCTTTCTTTCTGCTTGAATCTTCTGGCTGACTGATAGAATGACAAAATCAGGCATTATTCAGATCTGCTTTGCAGCTGCATTAAAGACTCTTCGATTGAATGGAACTCGTCAAGGCTACCCTTTCTATGATTTTTCAATTTGTGCTCTCCAAAGTTCCTACTTTGTTTCAGCCTGTGCAGAACAAGGCTTTAGAATCCTAGCAAGAATGCAGTAAACCCAAGTGACAGAGCAACACACAAGGATTCACCAGTCACGTGCAGAGTGGGAGGTAGCATGTAGCTGTTACTTAAGGAACCAGCTTACCTAGTATAAAAATTTAGTTTACCTAGTGTAAAAATTCAAAAGCAGCAGGAAAATGAGAAAGGATATATCCCAAATGGTTTTAAAGAAAATGTTCTAAAAGTAATGAATCTCTCATGAATGTCGGAACCAAACAGGGAAAACTCTCTTTTTTTTTTTTTTTTTTAAAGATTTATTTATTTATTTATTTATACAAGCACTGGGTACAGTCAGAAGTGCGGGAGGGTGAGAGAATTCACCAAGCCACAGCAGGGAGCAGAGCAGAGGGTGAGAGAATTCACCGAGCCACAGCAGGGAGCAGAGCAGGCAGTAGGACCGAAGTACACTGCTGAGGGGAGCAGCGGGTGGCAGGAGAGGTCTGCGCCCCATGTCGGACCCTCCTCTGGTGGCCGGGGAGCAGCCGGGGATAGAACCGGCACTGCAGAGGCTGCGGGCAGCTTCACAACCCAGGGCTCAACCGCTGCGCCACTGGGGAGGCTCCAGGGAAAACTCTCTTAACTTCCCTTCCTCTAAAGAAAATTTAGTTCTATAGATATATTTCAAATATAAACAAGGACAACCATTCTTCCCATATAAGCTAAGTGTTTTTCTTTCTTTCCTTTATTATGCAGATTTCTATCCAAATGGTCATGTTTCATTTCAGGTGGGTCTGTGTTAATCATCTTACCTGTTTGACACCATATTCGAAAGCCTTTTGGGCCAGTCTGCCTGGCCCCTCCACAGTTTTCCCATCATCATTAGGGCCCCAGCTTGCACTGTAAATATCCACGTGTCCAGGATTGAACCCAATTGAACTGGCCTCAATCGCATCAGTCACAATACCATCCAGCATTCTTATTCCTGAAAAGCGAAACAAATACATACATTGACATCAGCATGTATGAGTAGGGTAGCACAATATTCTTAATATTCATGTTTAAAGGACTTTCAAGAGGGGAAATGCAAATGGCCAACAGGCATATGAAAAAATGTTCAACATCACTTGTCATCAGGGAAATGCAAATCAAAACTACCATGAGATACCATCTTACACCAGTGAGAATGGCACATATTAAAAAAACTAGCAACAACAAATGTTGGCGAGGGTGTGGAGAAAAAGGAACTCTTCTGCACTGTTGGTGGGAGTACAAACTGGTCCAACCACTATGGAGAGCTGTGTGGAGATTTCTGGACCTACTAAACATAGAGCTTCCATATGATCCAGCCATTCCACTCCTAGGTATTTACCCAAAGGACACAGAAACATCAATTCCAAAGAACACCTGCACCCCTATGTTTATAGCAGCACTATTTACAATAGCTAAGCTTTGGAAACAGCCCAAATGCCCAAAAATGGATGACTGGATCAAGAAGATGTGGTACATATATACCATGGAATATTACTCAGCATTCAAAAAAGATAAACACATGCAATTTGCAGCAACATGGATGGCGCTGGAAGGGATAATGCTCAGCGAAATAAGCCAGAAAGAAAAAGAAAAATATCGGATGGTCTCACTCATAGCAGGAATCTAGAAAACTTAAATAAGGGACCAGGAAAATGAATAACTATAAGAAAGTGAAAATCAAAATCAACAAACAACTATGAACCAGAGACACTTTTTGGGGGTTGGGGGCGTGAGGGGAGGGATTGGGGTCAGAATGGGAGGGTTGCAATTGTATGGGGAATATAAAAATAAAATTTATTATTTAAAAAATAAAATAAAATAAAATCTGAGGGGAAAAAAAAAGGACTTTCAAGAGAGTCACAAAAAGGGGGACCACTGAATGTTCCATGCCCTAGATGTTACTAGCACAGTAGGAAGTCACTGCGTCTGTAAGCTTTCTTGTCTGTCCTTGAGAGATCATTGTATGTACTCTGCAGTAGCCATGGTGTTTTAGGTTGCAAATGTGTCTCCTCCCTCTGCCATACCAATAAACTAAAAATGATGGGATAGCTTTCAGAAAGAGCCATCAAACAGCACTGTCTCAAACTGCTAGGTCATGTTGCTGTGCCCATGCAAAGAACTCTGCATGGGAAACCGTGCAGCTTGGAAAACCGTGATAGAAAACAAGCAAATAGGGAAAGAATTCTTGTTTCTAAGCACTGATTAAAAATAACCCAGAGGCCATTCTTTTATGTGTTTGCTAAGAAACATTTTCAAGGAACACGCTTCCTTTTCTTCTAAATAATCTCAAGGATGAAATCATTGCCATGGATTTCACTCCTGAGGGGGAATCATTTTTCATCAGGAGTAGGCAGAAGCAGTGACTCTTGGTGCTTCCCAACAGGCTGTCGCCCATCATCAGACTCAGGATTTCAAGAACCACAAAGGCAAAAGCAATTTAGACAGATACAGTCAGCTACATGGCTTTAGGCTGATAAATACAAAGGAGTGCACAGTGTTAGATTTTTCACAGTATTATTTACTATGGAACAAAGGTAAAGGAACATGTAATTGACAGGATCAGTGAAAAGTCATAATTGTAGGAAAAAAATATTTGAAAATGTATTTGGAGGAAAAAAAATGCCAGTCCTAGTTACTAGCACTGTGATCTTGGTAAATTTGCTTAACTTCTCTGGACCTCAATTTCTCATGCACTAAGGGTATTCTATATGCAGCCACCATTCTATAGACCATAAACATATGAACTCAGGTCGTACAGCTTGAAATTGGGGAGCCAGGACCTGAACCCCAGAAATATGGCACCCAAATCTACTGTTAACTTCCAGGATATACCACCCATCATGTGTTGTAAGATAAGTAATAGACACAAAACAGATGCCTAATAAATGGATATAATTTTTCAAAAAGCTGCATTTGGGGTTACACCATCCAGGGATGGAGTCATGAAAAAAATTATTAGACCTGAAATCAGAAGTCTTGTGTTTTATATCCACATTGCCACAAACAACCTTAAGACCCTTGTTTAATTCTTCCTCTATAAAATGAAGGGATCAGACCATTCTCTCACAAACTATAGCTGCTTAGCTCATCATGACTAGACAAGTAAATTCTTCTTCTAAGTGATTACATAATTTGTGCTTTTGCCTTCATTTCTTTAAATTAACTTTGAAGAGGCTAGCATCAAAGGAATCAGGAATGACATTGAAAATCTAAGTATGGGCTCTACTAGCAGAGAATGCATTATATATGCCAGGCTGTTTATTGTTTGTTTGATTTTTTTATTAGTTTCTAAAAGAGAATGTGTAACCAAATTCAACATATACTTATGTGGTGTTTAAATCAACTTTACCATCACTGACATGTTCTACAATTGATCTGCTTTTGTGGTTCATACTTTTTGAAAACAAACTCAAAGTTTATAGCATGGCTTTGGAAGCCTGAGGTAGGAGTCGTGGGAGGATGAGAGACATCGTTTTATTCTCGGAGCCCCTGCAGAATCCTCTCCACCTTTCTCCAAAGGAACATAGACTATATAAATGCCTTCCCATTGGGTTCAACCAACTAAAGGCAGCAGCAGGAAGGTGAGGAATGAAAGGTTCCCCTGAATCTTCCCTGCCTAATGCAGTATAGTTATGCTCAAGGTCACAGCTCCTGTCCACAAACTCTCTCTTACGTTCACAACTTCCTCTCTCCAGTTTCCACTGACCTCTCCTTCCTTTGCTCCTTTATGTCTAAAGATGGTAGCATCTGCCTACATTTTGGGGGCTTTGTCATTTACCTTTAACTTATAATTCCTTTAATAAACTGTCCTGATGGAACCTACATGTTTCCCCAAAAAGACACTGACTAAAGTAATAAGAGCTTCTAGATTCTTGCTGTCAAAGATAACCTTAGGTTCCTTCATTTAACACATATGTATTCTTTTTATTTTTAAAAACTGTGCTATGAAATGAAGGACTACAGAATTGAGAGTCAGGGAATGTCTTTGACTAAATTTACCTCCTCCTTCTGTTCCCTTAGCAAGCTCTCAATAACAAACCCTTCTAAATCAGAACACAGAGAAAATTAGATTTGCTTCAAAAGCTATTCAACATTTCCATTTTTTTCCCCCACAAAGAAGCATGGCTATATTCAGTTATCATCTGCCAGGAATCCAGATTCATTGATTTGTTTGCAAATCACAGTCAAATTCTGTGGCAAATTTTTCATAGAGTTCATTTCTTCCTCTGGTTGTTGAAAAGTCCCTCCTTCCCCACCTCATTTACATTGAGTTATACAAGTGTCAAATTAAAGTGCAAAACTACCATAATGTTCCTCTGCTTTACCTCCAACTTTGGAATTATAAGCAATTCCAACCCCGCACTTGTGATTATTTGCTTGCATGGCAATTTCTCCTGCACATCTGGTCCCATGTCTGAGGATTAAAAAATAGGAATTAGAAAATATAAATGAGAACAAACATTTGTTTCATATAGGAACTCATGGTGCATAGATACATTAACAATTGGTCAGTCTTGCACTGCTTTTCTTCCTATCAGTACTAGATGAAGTGTAGGTATGAGTTGAAAAGCACAGCACTGGAGCCAAATGTGGTGAGTTCAAATTCTCTTTCTGCCACCAATTAGCGGTATGACCTTGAGTAGGTTATTTGGCCTCAAAGGGTTGTGACATCCATGAGATATTGTGTGTAGAACATTTTGAACAGTGGCTCATATGTAGTAAGAACCCAGGAAGTATTAACTATTGATACTAATATGAGCAACTCTGATACTTTCAGAAACCATTTCAAAGAAATGGTACTGACTCAATCCTTTTTGGTAGTGAAATGGCTCCTCGCATTCCCCCCAGTGACTTCTTTGGATTAGATTATCCTGGACCAGTCCTAGTAGGATACGGTAGAACATAATTTCCTCTCAAGCCCTACTCTCCTCTTCTAACCATATACAAGACTTTAAACAGCTGAGGGTTTTCTGGTACCGGGAAGAGGTTGAGATTTTAACAGCACACCACATATTAACTGTAACCAGGATGCTCCTGCAACTCTGACTGGGGGGAGAAGCCTGAAAAATACTGGTTTTGTAATCAGGCAAAGATGGTAATTGATGATTTCAGAGTATTTGGGGGGAAATTCCAAAACAAAGCAAATTCTGCCATTAAATCATCAATTCTGAATTCTTTCCCACTATTGCCCTGACCTCAAGAGGGTCAGTACGTCAAGAGCACTTTCATGGTGAATGTTCTTCATGAGTTTTTTCCATTATGGAAACATCTTGGAGCTGTGTGAAGCTGTGGGTGCCTTGGAGGAACTACTGATCAAATATACTGACATAGAGGAAAAGAAAAGGAAAAAAAGGTTAGTTTTAAGCAATTCTGCTAGCCAGCTACCACTGCCATGGACATCTAGTAGTATAGCCTGGCATGGAATTTAGAAATTCTAAATTACTGGGACACCCCAAATAATTCCGTTTCACTTATACACTTCCCCCAAAGTACCAAAGATGATTTCTTGGTCTCCTTCCACTAAATGATGTTCCTGCTTCTTGATGCTAATACTGGATAGGAATCCTAAGTCAGAGCAATATAATTATCTTTCATTTGAGATCTTCTGTAATGCAGTAGATATCTTTGTCCTTTTTGTCAATATAGCATTTTATCCTTTGGGGAAGTGGCTCTCCCTCACACCTTGTGAGTCTATCCTTCTTCTACAGAGTTTTCAAGGATTATGCAGATTCTGGAACTTTTTTTTTTAAAGATTTATTTATTTATACAAGAGCTGGGGTACAGGTCAGAGGCACAGGAGTATGAGAGGATTCACCAGAGACAAAGCGGGGTGCAGAACAGGCAGACGGACCTAAATACACTGCTGAGGGGAGCAGTGGGTGAGGCAGGAGAGATCGGCCACACCATGTGGGTTTCTCCCTGGCTGGCCGGGAATTGAACCCATGCTGTGGAGGCTGTGGACAGCTTCACAGCGCGGTGCTCAACCCACTGCACCACCAGGGAGGCCCCAAGAACTCTTTCTTTCTCTAGAATCTTGAGTGTTAAGTTCCATGTGAGCCCTGTGGATCTCCTGCCAGGCAAGATTCTCTGAGAATGAAGCTAAGTGGAAGAGAGGGGATCTAGGACCTGGGGCCTGAGTAGTTGGTGTCCTGAAGGCACATTATCTGGGCTCCAGGATCTTCTGATACTAGTGTATCCCTTGGGTGAAATTATTTTTTAAATCCCCATTTTAATGAATCTTTGAGTTACAATTCTCTCACTTGCAACAGCAGCTGCCTGACAATACACTGATTCTCTTAGATGTGTACCTGCTGGAAATATACAAGGAATCTTATGTTTCTCTGATGAATTAGCTCTCTTTGCCTCTGCAGGAGAAATTCAGTGCTAATGCCTATGAATTGTGCTCCTGGAAGTCACCACAACCTGTATTTCCACTTATACAGGTGACAAGACCTAAGATAGCAAAGAATTCAGGGCAAAGTCTCCAGCCTGTGCCAATGGAATCAACCTATGGCAAACATCGTCAGCAACTGTACCTCTGTCCTAAAAGTGATATGATGTAACACAACCTATTCTTTCTCTTTCCTTTCATACTGAGGACTATGTTCTAGAAAGGTGTGGTAGGATCATGATTCAAAATTTTTTTTAAGATTTATTTATTTTGTATTTATTTATACAAGCACTGGGTACAGTCAGAAGCAAGGGAGGGTGAGAGAATTCACCATAGCCAGAGGGGGGAGCAGAGCAGGCAGAAGGACCGAAGTACACTGCTGAGGGGAGCAGCGGGTGGCAGGAGAGGTCTGCGCGCCATGTGGGACCCTCCTCCCGTGGCCGGGAGCAGCCGGGGATTGAACCGGCGCTGCAGAGGCTGCAGGCAGCTTCGCAACCCAGCGCTCAACTGCTGCGCCACCGGGGAGGCCCCATGATTCAAATTTGGGTTGATATTTTTTCCTCTTCTTATTATCACCTCTGTCCTCCACATCTTGAGAATAAGGGAAGACTTTATCAAGTGGCTCTGTGTCATTCTTCGTAGGTCTGGCACTTTTTTACCCCCCGCTTTCCTTAAATCAGGCTCTAATATAAAAGACCTTCTTTTATCTTAGAACAATGGTAGTAACTGGCATTTAAACAAATTGATTTTTAAGAAATTATCCCACAGGATAGTTTAAAGAGTACTATTATACTGGTTAAAATATCCTTGTCACACATGCTATTTAATTAGGAAAATAATCTGTAATTGGTGTTAAAATACTGAATGCAGATTCATGCCAGCTTAATGGTAAGAGTTACCTGCACTTTAAGATTTTTTTTATTTAGTGAATCTTCTTTTGATTTGCAGAGGAGAATTCAAAATGCAGCTTTTATTACTATCATTTGCATCATAATAAAGAACAGCAGCAACACAGATAGGTTGGAAAGAGTATAAGTCTTTAACTACTGTAATGGCCAAGACAAAATGGGGCCTTCATTTTTCAAACCTAAAGGATTTATTTCTGATAACATGCTAGAAGGACAATATTTTGACAAATGATAGTGGTGTTACCTTTTTCACTGATAGTCAAGAGGAGCCTGAGAGATAGTAGCTTATTGTGTAATTTTCAAATAGTAGATTCTGAATTGAATCAGCAAATTGACTTGTCTCTGCTTCTGCTCCTATCAGATGATATTATTCGGGTCATGCTGATATCTCATTGAAAGGTCTAGCTTAGTTGCTAAATAAGAAACTTTGATCAGCATCATCATCAATATCAATGCCAGTGACATCACCATCATAGCCAATGTTCAGCTTTTTCATGTACCAGATACTTTCCAATTCAACTAGACATATAAATTCATTTAATGTTCATAATGACCCAATGAAGCAGTATTATTATTGCATTTTTTAGAAGAGGATCAAACTGAGGCACAAAGAAGTTAAATAATTTGTACATAGTCACTCAACTACTAAGTGGTAGAACTAAAATTTGATCTAATCTCACAGCAAAGTCACTGCTCTTAACTGGTTGTCTCTGTCATGCTAACACTACACTGTACAGAAGATCCTCAGTGTACTGTGCTCTGGAAGCACAGAAATTTTGGGCACAAATAAGTACCTTTTGATGGGTTCCAAAGAAACTTTAGGTCAGTATTAACTGCCCCAGTCACAAAGGAGTTCTGAGAGACAATAAAGGAAAAGGTAAATAGAAAGTGTAAGTGAGGAAGAGTGGGAGAGAGACCTGGATTGACTCAGATGGCTAATCATCCGGCAGAAGGAGGTCTCCATGTGGTATCCGTAAAGATATGAGTGGTTTCCCATTGCTTTGCTCGTTCCCTTTCCACTTGCAGCAGTAAGCTCTAATTTTGCTTGCTTTTGATCCTCTTTGGAACAAGTCCCTTTTGGGTGGATCAAACAAAGAGATATGGAACTGTCTCACTGAAACCCGCAAGAGGTACTATTATAAAGCACACATGGACAATGACATATGGGCACTGACTCTTGACCGTGTGCACAGAGAATGAAGTTTTTTTGAGGTCAGGAAGAAGGTTAAAAAGTCTCTTGCCTCTGAGTCTTTCTTTAGTCTCCTGCCTTGGCAAGTTTGACTCCTGGCCCTCTTCATCACCCTAAGGCTGCTCCAGAGAGGACATTAATTTAGAAGTCAGATGCTATCCTCTCTCTCTTCCATTTAGCTCTGGAACACGCTGCAGGAGCATGGAAACAGGCTAAAAGGTAGTTCAATTTTCTAGAGATTCAAGGGCCAGGCCTCAAGTCTATTTCTCTCATCTGACATCTGGGCATGCTCTTCTGGGGGCTGGTATGTGTGTGGCTATGAGAGGGGGATTTGCTATCTTGGTCATTTATATTTTTTTAAGATTTATTTATTTGTGCATACAAGAACTGGGGTACAGGCCAGTGGTGTGGGGGTGAGAGGATTCACCAGAGACAGAGTAGGGAACAGAAGAGGCAGATTGACTGGAATAAACTGCTGAGGGGAGCAGCGGATGAGCCAGGAGAGGTCTGCTGCACCATTTGGGTATCTCCCCAGCCGGGGATCAAACTTGTGCTGCAGTGGCTACAGACAGCTTCATAGGTTGTGTCTTAATCTCTTGCACCACCAGGGAGGCCCAGGCATTTATATTTCTTTTCAAGAATAACATCAGGCATGTTGCTAAAAGTAAAAGATTCTCAGAAGCTCAATGTTTTTACTCTTATGTCCCAAGCATTCTTTCTGGAACTATAACTATTCAGTAACATTTGAAAGGAGAATTTCATAATACTAAAAGAAGTTTAATTGAAATGTCATTCTGTAAGCCAAAATGAATGTCAAAATAGAAGATCTAGTTTATGTTTTTAAAGCAGCAAAATACTGCGGTATAGATGGCGTATATGAACATTTTCTGAGAGCTGAAGTGTAGATCATATTTACAGCACAATTTTCTCAAATTAGATAAAAGCATTTTGAAGAACCATTCCCACCAAATCCACATTTACTCACTTGTTCTCATTTGTGGGATCATATCGGGGAAATGGATCATGGTCATTATCGTTAAAATCGTAGCTAGCCTCTGGATCCTAAAAAGACATCAAAACAATACTGTAGCATCATTTGAAAAGTATCACTTCCCAAGTGTTCTTCTCCTGCCCCACTCCTATCTGGGCTGACAGTTACAAAGTCTACATTTCAGAGTTTCAGGTCCAGTCACTGAGCCTTATTATACTCATAAACTGCACAGAGATGATGTACACAGCAAAGCAATCCAGCATCCAATTCTCATTGAATGCTGCCAAACCTATAGCTCATAGAACCTGAAAGAAACAGAGTTCACTTAGTTCAATAACCTCATTTTAATTTTTTTATTTTTTTTTAAGATTTATTAATTTATTATATAAGCACTGGGTACAGTCAGAAGCATGGGAGGGTGAGAGAATTCACCAGAGCCAGAGCGGGGAACAGAACAGACAAACTGATGAAATACACTGCTGAGGGGAGCAGCGGGCAGCAGGAGAGGTCTGCGCTTCATGTGGGACCCTCACTGGTGGCCGGGGATGGAACCAGCACTGCAGAGGCTGCGGGCAGCTTCGCAGCCCAGTGCTCAACCGCTGTACCAGCAGGGGAGGCCCTACCTCATTTTTAAAATGAGAAAGTTGAGGCCTAGGGAAGTTGAATGACTCAACTACGCTATAGAGCTAGTTAGTGACACTGTGACACTCATCTTTCTTATGTGTATAGGTGCAAAGAGGTGGCTGTTGGGTGCAGTACAGGTCTACAGTGATCTCCAGCCTTCCCAGATGCACTAATTAATGAGTTAATTAAAAGTTCCCCCCCTTTCCAACCAGACTGCTACACTTAAGCATGTTCCACATAGGAAACCCATCAACCTTTACTGTTACGTTTCAATTTCTTTCAATAATTCCTACTTTTTGCTAACCTTTTTCTCCCCTTTCCTTTGTTCTTTAACTACAGAATGTTGGATGAGTGGAAGGATATGAGAAAAGCAAAAAATAATCTTAAAGATAAAATACTAATCTAAGATGTGATGGAGAACTTCATGAACAATTAAGTAAATCATTTTCACTTAGAAATTTTTCCATTTCTAGCAAACTTTTCATTTCTCAGCTTGTCATTTTGTACTGTGTGGTATGCATTCTTGATTTTCATGGAAGGAATCATACTCATGTAACTTTACAACATCAGAGAAAAGTGACCAATAGGGATGCAAAGAAGACGACTGTGGATATGATCTCTGGCATCAGACTTGATTTAATTGTCTTATTACCCTGAAGACAGAGTAACATAGAGTCTGAATAACTTTTAATAATTTGTTTGGTGTAGGTGCCTACTTCCAACCCCAAGGCACATGCTTTTGGATATTCCTTGGCACCACTGAATTCCTTCAGTGCTCACTGGTACAAAAAAATGTTCATATGACTGATGGGAGGATGAGGTAAAACCTTGTTCCATCATTTTGGGAGCCAATATCAGAGTAGTCTTCAACTGATTGAAAACAAACTCTAATTGTGTGTCTATACAGACAATTCCCTAAGTTGCAGTCATGGGAGGGCCCAGACTCACATAGTTGGCATAAATGTCTGTGTGGTTCCACTCCAAGCCATCATCCAGTACCGTGATAACAACTCCTTTGCCTGTAATGCCTTTTTGCCAAACAGGTATCACATGGAGATCCAGCTTGGGCAAGGTAGCAGTCATCCTAGTATCTTGCTGGTGAAGAAAAGTGAAAAAGCATTGGTTAAAACACACACACACACACAATTTTCTTACTGCAAATTTATAACTGAAGCTCCATTCTGGAGACCCATCATTCTTTTTGTTGGGGTCACTCTTTAGAAGAAGGCAATTAGGTAAAATAAAAATAAAGTTGAGGGTAGGGCCAAGTGAGTCATCAGAGTGCTGTTCTTCTCCCAGTTGTTCCAATGGAAAATCACTCAGAAGGATGAATCACCCCGTGCCCCTTCTCTTTCAACTATGTGGCTTTGAAAAAGTTTGTCCCTAAGTTTCTTTCATTTATAATTACATGTTCAATCTTTTCATCTACTGAAGCTTTATTTGATGTTCTATGTTTCCATCTCCCTGAAAATGCTGAGCTTACATTGCCATGCTGAACCTACTTTATATTGTCTGGCTCACAGTCATTCATAGATGTTTTATGACTTTTTTGAAAGAAAAAAAAAACAGAACTTAGAATGCTCAGGGAAATGTGTTCTGGCCAAGACTTGTAATTTAATTGCCTGTTTTAAATATGACTGATTTAAGAACAAGTATCTTGCTTGAGAGAAGATCTGGAGTTTTCATTTTCAGATAACTAAACTGATAGTTACTATGTGGGGGGACTGTAGGGGTAAACAGACTGCAAAGGAACACAGGTATGAACATATCACCAAGAATTTCAGAAAGATGCAATAGAAAAAAGTCAGGCATCTGGTGAAAAGGTCAATAAGAAATTTATAAATGAGATCAATCAAAAAATAGAAATATATGGATTTCCCCCTGGCTGATGCTCTTCAGAAAGAGGTAAGGGAAACAGAACTTACTAGGCCAATGTGAAGCTGAATCACAGATTTTTGGCCAAGGTCAGAGAAGGAGGTCTTTGTGCTGGTCACAAGAATAATTATAGAGTGTGGTTATTAGAAATATGGCCTGTGGAGCCATGAATTATGGATCCAACACCAGTAACCATGTGATTTTGGAAAGTTACTCAAATTGCCAATGTCTCTCTTTCTTTATCTGTTGAATGGGCACAATTACTTTATCTACAACATAATGTGAGAATTAAGTGAGTGAATTCATATCAAACATTTAGAATAGTATTTGGCACACAGTCATGCCTGAATGTTTATTAATAGCCTCTTCTGCTGGAGTGAGCTAGTATTGTTTACGCTAAGTGTTAAGAAAATTGATCTCTTTTCTTAAATCCATTATGCAACAGGGTACCTAAGCCTTATATTATCATGGAAAATTATTTTTTGTAATAGTCGCAACAAAAAACACTTCTGTTAACCCAAATTACTACTATAGAGGCTTGATATTACAACAGAATGGAGAACACCACCTTAAGTAGGAAAAATCACAATTTCTTCACACCAGTAAGAATTTTGTAACTATCTTAAAGATAGAATGGCTTACAAGTCTGCAAATAGACTTCACTTGTTTCCTTCCTTAGCCTACTTCAGAAATTCTTACCTGTAGCATGCATGTGAGAAATGTCAGTTAGGGCTGTTCATACTGAACCATGTTTACTGTACTCTTGGAGTGACTTAAAGGGTGCTCAAGAATAACTTTGACTAAGTGTGATTTTTTTCATGAGTACTGTTTTGGATCCATTAACTTGTAAGACATGATTCATCTGTACTTACTCCAGATGAGCTTACGGAGACAAAAAGGCAACAACACCTCTTCTATTAGCAGCTCAAAATCTGTGTTTAAGACACTCATCTTAAACAGAAGATTCAGATCATGAAAGGTCCCATTCTCCCTAGTCTCCAGATAACATAGCCCTCTGCTGAATTCTTCATCACTAAATAAAATGCATTGTGCAAACATCACAAGAGAAACAACCCATATCCCACACAGTCCTTCTGCAGGTACTTACCAAGTACCACTGCTGATTCCACATTGGATCATTGAAGAGATTTAGTACTGAGTCTCTTAGAACTGAACGTTTCCTTCTCTCTTTTTCATACTGTTGTTCAGCCCATATCACCTACAAGGATTTTATACCAAGAAAATTGACAGTCACATAGCCATCCATATGGGATCACCTTCCTTCTAACTAGTTCCAATGCCCTTTCCAACAGAGTTTAGGCATCTCTACAATAATTTCATTTCACTACAGGTCAGACTGACAGCTGAGTGAGAAGAAGGAATGGCCCACTGTGGCCATAAACATTCCCTCTATTACATAAAGTGTATCTTTACGGGAAGGAGAAGCGGTCAGTAATCACTGTGCAAGTAACTGTTCAGCTTACTTTCATGAGCAAATGGACCATAACATCCATCTTTATATTCATATTCCAAGACTCCAGACCTGAGAATTTGTCCATTTTCATAGAATAAATCAATAAGCTAGAGAGGCCACATATTGCAGCTATGGTGCTGGTATAGCTTAATTTCTCTTTCCTTACATGCAAAAGGTAGACATTACAAATGTTACACAATACAAGAAAAATACTGTATCTTTGAGAATTCAAAACTCTGGCTCCCCTTTGCTGCAGCCTCCTGCTTACGAGTATTTAATATGAGAAACAGATCCAAGGTGATGAATATGCACTACTGACCATGCACACTTGCCATTAATTTAGTCTCATGTATTATGCAAAGAGATCTGACAATACAAAAATTACCTTCTCCACATTTATGGCTTAATCCTATTATACTTGAGGCCCTGAGAGGGTGAGGGGCTGCCTTGTGGTTATATTCATTATGAGATAATACCATGCTCTTATTTCCTGGGTAACATGATTGTTTCTTACCCAAAAATTATCCTCTCTGTTGCACACAGGATGACAGTCCAGTGTGTGGTGGGATATTGTTAGTGTGAGAGTATTCATGAGTCAGATCCAAAAATAATTTGCAACTAAAGGATAAAACCATCTTGAATTTCCAATTAGAAAATATACCGCAAACCTATTATAAACATTGGGAGGGATTTGAGAGGTAGAAATTAGTCACTATAATTTACTTTTAAAGTGCCTATGTTTCCAAGCTTAATTGTTTTAGCTTAAAATACCTCATTGCTTGGAATATACTGCCTGTCTTCTGAGCTGGTCTTTGGAAGCTTACTGTTAGGGCCCAAGTACTAATCTTTGAGGGAGAGAATCACTTATACTTAGAGATTTCATTAACAGACTTGTAAAGACAGTATATTGCTACACTTCGGAGGGCTAATTTGAAAGAATATTATTCCCATACAAATAAAAGGAGCAATAAAATTAAAATCAAAAGCAATTTTTAAAAAATGGAATAGAAGAAGAATCACTGTCACCTGATCAGATAAACATCCAATTATTTTTAACAGTGTTCTGATTGTATCATTAATTCCAAATCGAGTATTAATCGCTGGAAGAATAGACCGAATAGAATAGAGCAAATTGGTGGTGTCTTTCTATTGTGTATATGATAGGGACAATGTACTTAATTTTAATTGTAGATAATCTATTTAATCTGGCAAGAACATTAAAATTATCTAATATAAACTTCCACTGCAAGCTTCTATGACTTCTAGAATTTTTCCTAAAATAAAAATTATTCTGGGGACAACTCCCCTGCCCACCTTGATAAGATTTCTAATTCTATTCTCTGTACAACTGCATCTTCCCCCCACTTCATCCCCACAATCCAAAGAACACCTGTTTCCCCTTTGCAAGCCCCCATTCCCCATTTCACTCACATTCCATAGTCTATGCAGATCCCAAAGGAAGAGGGAGGAGTAGTTTAATTCAACTAGTAGGGATCAGATCAGATCAGATCAGATTATCCCTAGTAAAGTATATTGGGGAGCAGAATGCTGCTGGGGTGGAGACAGATGAGGGATAGCAAAAGAGGGATACCTTTTTATAGGATGATATAGACTCCCTTGTTAGGAAATTATGTTAGAGAGTAAATTCTTAGCTCTTTTTCATTATGCCTTAGGATTTCTCCCTGAATAAACTATTAAGGAGCTATGCAAAGAATAGAACTGAGCCATCTGTTCATTTTAGTGAGATACTTGGAGTAACAATAGTAATAGGTATTTTCCACTCTGTCTAATTTTCTCCTATGAAGCTGAGGAGATCATTTTGACTTCTTTGTGTGTTCATGTCAGGCATGAATTTAGGCAGACAGGTACATTTGTTTTTCGCTTTGTCCAAGAACTAAGTCTGGTCAGATTGTTGTAAGTTGTCATAATTTTCAGAGTCTCTAGTTACAATGACTGAGTCATTTGCCATGGGATGGTTAGTGGTAAGACCTCACTGGACAAGAAATTTTCAAAATAATATTCAGGAGCTTTGATTTGGCTTCTCACATCTGGCTATTGCTTGAATAAAAGGGCCAGTAGCAGGTATAAATGAGCTGCGGGTTGCCATTCACTATCCAGATACAGTATTTAGGGTACGGTTGCTTCTTTAACATTTGAACATTGGTAACCTAGGTCCAACCATGCTTGCCCTCATAACTTGTCTTCTTCATTTTCTATAATTCTATCAGGTACAGAACAAATAAAAATAGCAAATTATTCCACAGGTTTCATGAATTCCATGTACTTTCAACAGTTCTATCACCTTCTGTCACTTAAGCTTATTTTCCCCCAGGAAGCTAAAGTGCTCTATCTCTCACCAAACTGCCATAACTCCCTAGGGTATCTGAACAACAGAAAATGTTTACAGACATAAGTCCAGGCAGAATAAATTTCTATGAAAAATTCTTGAGAAAAGACAACATAGTGTATGCAAATTGCAATACTTCCAACAGTCTATATTTCTATTGATGTTTGTCAACCTTGAAACTACTACCTATGTTCATTCTAGATACTCCTTGCTTTTGCCTAATCATTGAATATGTATACAAGATCAAATAGCATAATACTTAAGGAAACATTTGCCTTATGAAGACATGAAATTAAAGCCCTGCCATCCCCCATGGTGGAATGCTTTAGAGTTACACTGTAATTAAAGGAAGTTTCATATATTGCATTTCTTTGGGCGCCTCACACCGGTTATTAAAGTGCTTGGTACACAATAGGCATATAATAGGAGGTTGTTGAGAGACTGTATTGCCAAACATTTTTATTAGTGTTACCACTTGATTTTCAGTATTCATTGTTATGCTCGTAGATCGGATTATGAGCTGACATTTTATTTATACAATATATATATCAGCCCATTGACTATATATATACACAACTGTATATACACAATTAGTTAATTCAACCAACCCAATCCAGTTATCATTATATATACCTATAATCTTATAGAAAAACAAGAAAAAATGCAGATAATAATTGGATCATAATGAAAAAGAATCACATTTACAAAGCACCTTCGCTCTTGTTGACAATCATAAACAAAGCAGATAAGTCAGTCACTAGTTTGAAGACACTGCACAGCACTTACACGATCATCATCAGATAATCTCTTAGTGATATGAGGAGCACTCCTTCGAGACCTTCGGGGATGGTTTTTGTGTTTGAGTAAGTAGTGATTTTCAAGTGAGCCAATCTACAAGAGAAAAAAGGTAAAATAAAAATCCACTCCACAAAATAAGTATTTATAGGCTATTTTGAAACCTGACTAACTTAGAGAGTGTACTTGAAGGTAACTTTTTCTTCAAGAGGAAGACACTGATAGAAGGTTCCCTCTCTGAGTCAGTGTAGTAAATGAGATGAGCCTCATGCTATTATCATTTGGACACGGGTCATGTTTCTGCTTCACATACGTCAAAGGAATTGCTTTTGCTTTTTTATGTGACAATATTTATGTGGTAGATATTTCTCAAAAAAAAATTGTCTCATTACTGGAAAAGCAAGCAAACTCTTTGGGTACTATGTATGATCAGTACCATATTCAGTGAAAACAATTCTTTGTTATACAGTACATCCATAAAGTCCGTAACAATGATTGCTATAAGCTATTGGTAGTAACTATTTCACCTTTTAGTAATTCAAGGTTTTGGGGACAAATCATGCCACTTTTAGGACAGGTGTTCCACGTAGGAGTGTGCAAACTTTTGTGGGTAACTATCAAAAAACTATTTAGAACTATGTTCATTATTCTTTTAAGCCAATGTCCCTTTGTCCAAAACAGTACTTAAATGGAAGCTACCACATTCTCTAGATGTTTTGTATTTTTAAAGAGAGAAATCACTGACAATGGAGTATTTCAGAAGAATAACATTGTATAAATCGGTGTTTCTCATAATCCAGAGAATTTTTAAATACAGATGCTAAGGTCCTGTTCCAACTCTGAGCAGGAGTGAATCTGCTATAACCTGCAGATTGAGTGGATTGAGACATCACCCATACTTAGGTGAGTCTTTGCTGTCAACTGGTTGTGCTACTGGTCACTCCCTTAATCTTAACTTTATCCAGAAGTCTTAAGAGCCTCAAGATAGTGATGCTAAAATTTGTGTAAACAGAAGGAGAAATAAGCAGAACCAGGAAAGCACTATCAAGTCTTTTACAAAGAATTATATATTTCAAATGTTATTAATAATGTCATTTCTAATGAAATGGCTAGACAGAATATAACATATACAAATTACATGTAAATATAGATGATTTTTCTTACTATTTTTTAAAGCTTCTTGTGGCTATGCCATCGTTTCCTTAAAGAGCCTCCAAAGAATACTGACAATGTTTTTTTTTAGTTTGGGCATTTATAGTGTAGATTTTGAAAAGCAGTTCCCAAAATGAATAGGCCACACACCTTTGGATGTGTGTCTAGGGATAACAAATGAAAAAAGCAGGAGGGATTTAATTTTTTCCTTCCCCAATCTGTTCCCATGGTTATCAGTGCTATTTAGCTGCCCAAAGGATATAGGATTAAGTACCCAAGTTTCCCCTCTCCCCCCACCAATGGAACACACAAGATTTCCAGTACAATTCCAACCACTACTCACTCTTTCTTTAGATCCCAACAATTCCTTGAAGTTTCCATACTTATTAGAAAGCTGCTTTCGTGTTGTCTTCCTGGTTCCCTACAGCTGTTTCTATGCCTGGAATGCCTTCTCCAATCTCATCATATTTTCCTGTTAACCTCTGACTCTTCTTCCTAAAACCCTGTGCAAATGCTTCCTCCTTTGGAATGGCTTCTTTTCCCTCCCCAATTCCTTTTCATCTTCATTCATTCAAATCACAAATAATGAGACTCCAGGCACAATTTCTATTACTGCACAATTACATGCAATTGCAATCACTTGTTTCTAAGCCAGTCTACTCTGAGTTCTTGAGTCCCTGAAAGTTTCTTTTATTCCTGTTATTCCTCAGCCCCTAACATGGAGTCTGGCAAAAAAAAAAAAAGGGGGGGGGCAGGGAGGCAATAGAAAAAGTTTTGGTGGGCTACTGGATTACAGAGAAGCCGATCTTTCCTGCAGGGCATTTCAAAAACAGTTTTACTTATAAAGTTGGAGAATGAAGCCTCTCCTCTGGCAAGGGAAGTCTTATTCCTCAGCGTATTAGATCTATGGAATCGCTAACGCCCACGCCTATTACTCATCCATGACTTCAGCGGCCTCCAGAAAAAACGCGCCAAAATGTTTTACAACTCCTTCCACCCCCGCGGCGATGCACGCCAACTTCCAAGGCCAGGGGCAAGAGTTTGATTCTGAGTCAAATATAAGGAAAGCTTAGAATAGAACTCACACCCCTTGGGGTTTTCCTGAAATTGCACAGCTAAAAAGCCCCCTTCCTGATATGTTAAAGCCATCTCTCACTCACAGCTACCTATTAAACCAATCCTCACTTGGACAGGCAACAGTTTTCCATCACAATCTGAAAGCCCTCAGGGTTAGACTGAGGGACGAGAAATAAATGTATCCTTTCCTCACAGTCAATTCCGCAGCTTGACCTTTCCCGGAGACTGATCCTGCAAACTTGGGAAGCTCAGACTGCAAGTTCCGGGTGAAAACCTGGACTCGGGTAGAGGAGCAGAGTTGGTCCCAAGCTTTTCACCCACCTCTTCCCCCCACCCCCGGACTCCCCAGGACACTCAGTGACCCTGCCGACTCAGCATCCGGCGTCCTGCCATTGGCGCTCTCCCAAAGTTCTGGGCTTGCCCCCTAAGGCTGCCGGCGGGCATCCCCAAGCCTGCTTGGCCCCTTGCATCAGGACTTGTATCTGACGCTGCCATATTGAAAAGAAGGAAATTGTGGGCTCCCAGACGCAGACCCTGTGGGTTGCAGGGGACAGAGAGCACGGCCTCTCCCAGGGCACTTGGTTGATAAGAGCTTGTGTGCACCTCAAGCTCCGTGAACAAGAAAGGAGAGAGATTTCTTCCAAACCGCACAGGAACGGATTTCAATTCCAGAGCCCACAACAGAAAAAAATCTCTATCCAGCTGCAGCGGCTTGGTTCTGCCTGGCTGCGCCCATCCTAAACAATAAATAACGCCAGCTTTCTCTCTCCAAACGCACCAGGGGCAAGTGATAGAGACGCGCCTAGTATTTGCCACACTGGACTCAGGAGAGTGCAACCTGGGGCTCCACTTGGGAGATCGAGCTCCAGTTTTGACAGTCCCCTAGGATCCCAGAAAGTTTCGTGAAAGTGCAAACTCTTACCTGACCCAAAAGGTCATAGCCCAACTCCTGGGCTATGGCCGAGGCTGCCTCCGGTCCCCCGGGGATCTCCGCCGCCCATTCATTCACAAACTGCCTCTTTGCTTTTGCACTGTTCAATGCACACCAAGCGCAAAAGAGAGCGAAAGCAGTATACTGCAGAGTCCAGGCTCGCTTCACCATGGCTCTCGCACTCGCTCGCACACAAGTGGGAAGGAGAAGGGAAAGAAGCAAGAATGTAAAAGCTAGAAAGACTCGCTCAGGCTCAGGACCACTTCTCGCTCGCGGCTGTTCTGGGAGCAGATGGGAGGTGCGCGAGCCGAGGCTGGGCGGCGGCGAGCGCTCAGTGCAGCGCCTCGGTCTCCCGGCTGAGTGGAGCCCCAGCCCTTCCCAGCCGGAATGGAAATGAGTGTTTACACGTCAAATCGACGAAAGCCATCTCTTGACGTCAGATCTACCTGGACTAAGATCTGGATGGTATTCCCGGGGGTGGGGGGGTGGAGAAGCGGCTAAAATAAGCAGCGAGGGATTAAGAAAAGGAAGGAACCGTTTGCTGGGATCAGTGAAGTCTGCTCCCTGTATGACCTTAAATTCTGTAGCCTAGAGAGACTCCTTCACTTCTCAGAGAAGTGCCCTATTTGAATATAACTACCGAGAAAGAAAGGCTGGAAATGCAGCCCACGAGCATTCTCCCTCCCTTCTGTCATTCGTGTGCGTGTGTGTGCGTTGTGCACACACACATGTATGAATACATATGTATATACCTTATTTGATTATCTCGTGCGTGTCGGGCAGGGGGTAGGGGGAGGGAAGGGTTCTTATAATGGTCCTGTTTGTACCAGCACCCGCTATGGACAACAGGGCTCTTAGGTCTTTCAAATCTGTCGGAGGCTGGGAGGGCAGCGAGGAGGGACACTTCTGCCGCCCAGATTCTCATCTAATCTCCTTGAATACAATGCTAAACCAATACTTTTTCCAATGTATTTTTGTTAACAACTTTTTTCTCCCCTGTTTCTCAACCCCAGTGAAACAACGTCTAAAATTCTATTCCAGGTGTCGCAGAGCTGACTGCAAATACCTTTATGGTGCTTTTCAGAAAAAGAATTAATTACATGATTTTTAAACAGAAATTTATCTTTCTCGTTTAAAATCAACAAGGAGATCTAACAACACAAATGCTGCTGTGTTGACTTATGGAGGGAAAGAACAGGTTTCATTAACTCTGAATTTTCCATTTTTCCTTCATTAAAGGTCTTCACTTTCTTGTTGAACTGAAACTGTGCCAATACTTTCCCATAAAATGCACGTGTCTCTTTGTGGAAGAATGTTTTCCCGTGGAAGAGAATAAGCAAACGTCTAAATAACGCCCCCTCCCCCACCCCGGAAATGAATTCCGACTCCCCAGGCGGAATCTTTTCAGATTCCGAGGGGTTGAACCTGGCGCGAAATGCCCTGTGTGTGTGTGTGTGTGTGTGTGTGTGTGTGTGTAGTATTCAGCACCAAGGGAATGGACAGCGCCACAATGACTGGAGTAGCCTTTCTTTTTGCGTGCCAAGGACTGCAGCCCTTTGGCAACTGGTCAGAGTCAAGCTGTTTTCTTTTGACTTGTGCCTTTCCCCCTTAAAAAATGGAATAATACAACACTGACCGCATGGGTAAGTGTGGTTCGGTTAATGTTCGTGACTATTTATATGGAGATTGGGGGAGGTGTTGGACTCAATCCAAAAGTAAAATTACAGGGGAGTCAAAGTCTCTGCAAAGGTTTTTTCATTTTCTAAACTCCCAACCGCCTGGTGGCGCAACCCATTCTAGAGATAGAGCAAAGAAAAGGGCTAAGATTGGGAAGAAGGCATATAAGCTTGTAGAGAAAGGGGAAAAGGAGATATTCTTAACAGAAAAGAAATGAAGAGATTTGGTGGAAGATGAGGCTGTGTAGTCCTAATTCTTCATTACCTCCAAGTTTGCCAAACTGTGGACTAGAATGATAATTTCGTTAAACTTAAAGCTTCTTGACAAAATAAATGTCAATGTTAATAAGCCATGTGATATAGTAATGGGCATTACCATAATGTGAGTAACTCTCAGGTGATATGTTGTGGAATGGACTCAGACTGATAGCTCTCTCTGTCTGCTTTGTAAGTACATATGTGATGGTTGATGATTGGGTGAGCTGTCTTCTTTCCTGTCATACCTCAAAGTAAGTGGTGGCTTCAAGCTCTCTGAGGTGTTTCATTCTCACAGCAGACAGATGCTCTGTGCTGCAAGGCACAGGGCATTCATGACAAATGTTTAGCATGAATGGTAAGTTTTACTAGAGCAGGAATATTTTTCATATTATTCTTGTAAATCAGTTTTGCTGAGCATTGGAAATAAGGCCAGTGTTTCATTAATGATGCATTTATCTTAAACGAAGCACTATACAAGCCTGAAATAAGCAAATATGTGATTGATATACTTAATGGGGCAACCAGAATTCTCACAGTAAGATGATACCCTATTCAAAGTATGTGTATCTATATCCTGTGTATCTATATTGAGAGCCATTTGGCAGAACTTGATCTGCTTTGTTGACTGCACCAGCTTCTCCTCTAACATATATTCTAACATATACAAGGATTTAACAGTAGAACATGTAGAACTGTAGTCTCTTAGAAAAGAGTATCATTTGTACTTTGTCCTCCTTCAGGTTCAATTGGCATATGTGGGGACTTCTTAGAGGGATGAGATTCTTTGGACAGAGCAAAAACTTAAGTTAATAGTAACTCCAGAAATATATTGGTTTTTTTTAAAGATTTATTTATTTATTTATACAAGAACTGGGATACAGGCCAGATGCGTGGGAGGGTGAGAGGATTCACAAGAGACAGAGTGGGGAACAGAACAAGCAAACTGACGAAATACACTGCTGAGGGGAGCAGTGGGAGAGACAGGAGAGGTCTGCGCGCCATGTGGGACCCTCACTGGCTGGCTGGGATCGAATCTGTGCTGCAGAGGCTGCATACAGCTTCACAGTGCATTGCTCAATCACCAACGCCACCAGGGGAGGCCTTATATTGATTTATTAATGAGAAAAAAGTAATGAAGAAAAAGCCTTCTGTTTTTGTTTAAGAAAAAGATTTAAGTTGGGATGGATGGATAAAGTGGAATATGAACTTTCTCTAACTCTTAACTGAATAAAAATGCCTGTAGATTTTAGGGGGGAATATGATTACAAAGTTAGATGTAGTTGCATATCAGTAATTTACTCTGAAATTGCCTTATTGTTTTTATTCTGCAGACCTTATTTGTCAGTTTTGGAGATGCAGAAGAAATGAGTGTTTGGCAAGGCCACAGGTACAAATAAATGTAGCATCTATCTAAGCTTTTTTATAGGAAGGGTGTGTCTAACCCTGCTATGTGGATCACAATAATAGCCTCCAGTCTCATCAGTGCTGTATTTTATATCATGAATTAGAAAAGTCAGTTATCACCTGTAACTTGGTTTTAATGGCATTTGATTCATCTGATTAATTATATAGAAAGCAGGATAATTCAGAGACCAAAGAGGACTGTGTTTCTATTATGAATTATCCAGTGAGTGTCATGCCTTTTATGACTACTCTCAATTCCCCAGTGATACAGTAAATCATTCATTAAGTTTTTTAGAGAATAATAAGAGCAAGGCTAGGGTGAGCAGGAAGTAAGAATATGTTTTCAAGAGAGTTATAGATCATCATATCCCTTTAGCCTTAGAAAATAATTTTTAAAAACTTTGCTATTGTGAAATTGTGTTCAATTGATGTATCACAAAGTGAACATGATGTGACAGTTCAGGTCAGGAAAAGCTAGCCTCTCAGAATAATATTCCAACATTTTTAAGAGTCATAACAGTAGAGGAAAAATAACTAACATTTGCCAGTTGTTAGTAGACTTACCTGTTTCCTCTGGGCAACAGTAAGTATATATTAAGACAAGTCTATGATTAACTAGTATGCAATTATACTAAAAAATACTTGGTGATAACATATTATAGAGGGAAATGTACATATAGCAGTGTTTCCCAATATAGAAAATATTTGCCTGGCACATGAGGGTAAACAGTATGAAATTTGTGGATATTTATATGGGATTTGTTAGAGAAGCATCTCATTACATTTTCTCAATATGACACAATTTTGAAAAGAAAACATTTTTTGCAACATGTAAAATTGAATAGACAACTTTAAATTGAAAAAAATGACTGTATTTCTATCACATTATATTCCTATATTTTATATCAGTTTATGATTTGAAGACTATATATCATTTTTAATTAATACATTTTAATTATCTTCAAATTCTTGATAACTGCTATCAATGGAATTTTAATTTGCACAAGTAGAGAATAAAATAATCATTTTAAAACAAAATTAGAAGGCAACTATAAATCAGAGACATTCTGCAGGGGAGGAAGAGGGATCAAAAGAGGGGAGGGAAGAGCACAAGGGACTATGGTGATGGTGCACAGGTGAATTGGTGGTGGAAATTTTGTGGGGACTGCACCTGAGAGGAGAAAGCAAACATTGCACAAAAATGAATAATGATGTAAAATATATATAAATACATTAAAAAGTAAAAAAAAATTTATAACCATTTAAAAATTTGCCAAACTTGATTTTAAATAATATAGTGCTCTTACTTTTATTTCCTTGCCAAATTTACCATTGGAATTTCATGAGACATTCCATATATAGATTTAGAATCTTCCTAAATTTTGTATGTCAAGTATTACAAAACAATATTAAAATTCTAAATTGACAAATACACATGCATTTTATACTTGTCATTATGCATTTACTTTGCTACAAATGCATTTAAGTATTTAATATATAGGAAGACTAATATTAGGACTGGCAGCTGGGATGCACCTTCAAAGAGACACTGACTTTCTTTCTTATTGTCTATACTCTCTTGGTGAAATTTTGCTAGGTATGCTATACTAATAGAGTACTTATAACATTATACTAATAGAGTACTTAAAACATGAACTCCTTCATTACATCCACAGATCATTTTCCCATGATGTAAAGGAACATACTTGCAGCGGTTGCTGAAGTAGTTCTCATAGTGGTAGACACTCTACTTGGTTCAGTTTACTGCCTTGAGACCAGATCAATGAGTGGTAGGTAGGTGTTGCTAGCTATCATTTCCAGTTGCCACTCATCATGGGTTTTCTTACAGGAGACCAGGATCAAACTATTTGCTTGGTCAGATATCTAAAGATCTATAATTTATAGGTTGGAAAACTGATCTATAGAAATAGAGCAAAAAAAAAAAAACTGTACACTGACAGGCCTCATGTGGATGAATAACTGTGAAAGAATGTTATTGAATGA